TCTCTCTCTCTCTCTCTCTCTCTGAGGGTGAGGCCAGTAAGAAATACGGAGATTCTCAAATATTTTTTCCAGACAGAGAAATCGAAGTCACATCTTCAATGAGCAAAACGAAAAGATCGACTCTTACTCCACTGACACTGGGACTCTGGGATATCTGTAACTTTTGTAAGAGTTTTCCGGCACTTGCAACACTATTACGCAATATAAGAGCCAAAGAATTGAGGTGTTTCCAGATAGTAACATAAAAAAATTAATGGAGAAGAGATAAGGACGATAGGAAAGAAGGAGCAAACCACACCAGAGCACCCACCAAGCACCCACACACAGAGAAACACCACTCTTATGAGATGATAGTACAGAGAACGTGAACATGAAAACACCACTTTAATTTACTTAAAAAATAATAAGGGATAGTATAATAATAGAGAATAGTACAACAGTAAAGTTAAGTTGTTCCCGCATCGGATCCGGACATTGGGGGATCGCCTTGTTAGTGAGACAACTTCCTGGGCCTTCGGCATACTGTGGTAGGGTGGCCAGTTCCTTTCCACCCCGCGTTTACTTCCCCAACTTGAAGTCAGGTACCCATTACTACTGGGTGGGCAGGAGTGGGCGAAAAAAAATCCATGTCCGAACCGAGGCTCGAACCTGGACTTTCCGCTTCGGAGATAGTAGTAAAATAGTAACACTTGACACTGAATAAAAAAGGAGACGGACCACATCACACTGACGCACTTAGCATACACCTTCGCTCACCCAACAAGGACTCGCCAACATTCATCATCAGCTGTGTAAGGAAGAACAGCCTCCACTGTTGTCTTACACACCTGCCTTGATAACACACCGACACAACAACATATTCCCAGAAGAATAGTTTCAAAAAAGGTTTTAAAAAAAACTCACAATCTTTATTCAATTTCAATTTCACAATCAAATATAAAATGCGTTTGCATGAACACAAGCAAAATGTCACAAGAAGGGAAATTGTATTACCCCCCCCCCCCCCCCCCCCTTCAACATAATTGAGATCATTTACGGATTTAGAAAATGTCAAGCTCCTTGGACATGCTGATCAGAGCCAGCCATAACTGAGTAGACTAGATCTGTAGCCTAAAAGTAAGATGGCAATATTATTTATTACTGTTATTATTATTATTATTTGATCGCATTCTTCCCTTGATGAGGGAAGTGAACTCATGTCTTACTGGTAAGCAATGTGAAGAGTCTAACTATTACACAACTTCCCTCACTTACGGTGAACAAAATAAAGAAAAACAAAGAAAGGGCAAATAATGAAGGCAAAGAAAAACAACTAATTGCAAAGATGAGTCACCATCTGTTCAGAAAATAATGTCTCATCTTCCATAAACGTATTATGAATGCAACAGGTGACCATAACTTTCAAATTAATCAAATGATAAGTCTACAGGATCTTCCGTCAGGTATTACTACTAGGTAGTCCAATGAGAATTTCAATTATATTCAATTCTGTTGAAAACATGTGAAACAGAAAGAATTTGTTTCACTGATCATTGGAGTTTTAACATTCATAAGAGACCTTAAAAGTACAGTCATACCTGCTCTGACGGCACTTACTTAAGACAATCACCTGTTCTAACAGACAGTTTCAACTGTAGTTCTAACCTACTGGGGTAGAGAAAAGCACCAGTGATCACAGCATTCCACGAGGCATGTATTGTGACATGACTTGGCTTGGATCTATGATGAAATCTTTTGATCAGAGACCAAAATTCAACGGACAAATTTTGTTGCAAATAAGTAGCACAGACAGAAGATGGGCACATAGCTAGAAATGTCATCCATGAAAAAAGATGTGATATATGCAAAATCAAAGCTTTGCAAGGCATAGCCTAACTGCTGACCCAAGGAGAAAACAACACTAAGTTTGCACCCAATGAAAGAGCGGACTCATACACTACAGTCATAGTAAGGAGGAGGAATTCTCCCGTTTCTTTCTTTATTAAAAGTCAACAAATACAATGCAGTTATTGAACACTTATACGACAACCTAAAACTCTACAGAATACCTTGAAATTGTACATCCTATTTCATCAAAAGTGTGACTTTCCAAAAATAGCATATGTATCACGACGCGTTGGAATCAGGCGCAAGTCAATTTTGGGTCATATGGAATTATTTGTATCATCTTTAAGTTGTTCATTTGTTTTGCTTTCGCTGAAAAAAATATAATTTTATCTTGAATAGAAGTCGAAATATTTGCGATTGAAGGAGACGGGGTCGCCTGGTTTCAGAGGTAAAATTAGCGAGAAAATGGCCGTAAAAGTTCAGTGACTTTCATAGCTCAAGAGTCCTTGGAAGCTGCAAATTTACATCTTTCATACCTTTAAACAACATTTTCTCATAAAATCCACACATAAAAGTGTTTCTGAATGGACTTACAAGGTGTTGAGCCAAAAAACGAAAAAAAAATGTTTTAATTTCAAAACTGGCGGACAAATGCCTGTTTTTCAGATTCCTGTATTTTGACGAGCGCCTGATTTCACCACGCTGCCTCACATATGTCTTTGTGGAAATATTAGGTTGCCGCCCATTTGCTTTAATTCTAAGCATTCAAGGACAATATTAAAGAAAGAGTTTGGAGTTTGCATGGCAATATGATCTTATAATAAAATGCATTCAATGTTCAAATTTACCCACTTTTCAAAGGAGAATATCCCCAATTCTATCCAATAAGAATGCAACCAGAGAGTAACCACAGTAAAGTTCTTTTGTTTGTTTAGTTAAAATCCTGTATCAGAATCAGAGGTGCCCCAAAAGACTTATTGATTGATACAAAACTACAGATTGTTACAAAAACTTGGTCACAAAACATCATCTTTGTAAAATTCTTTCAAGTAAGTTCTTTCCATCACCTACAAAAAAAAGATTTAAATCTACACCATAAAATTGAAAAGAGACAAAGAATTTAATCTAAATATAATGCCTTTTAACAGACTTTCAAAGAACACTTACAAGGCTAAATTTATGTACTTAACACAAAAGTAAACATCCAGTAGTTTCATCAAACTTAGTTAACACATGTTCCAAAACTAAACTGTGATTTTTATTTTCATATTGTTTATTCAATAAGATGCTATTCAAAGCAATCAAAGAATACTACACAGCTATAAATTACACTTTACCAGCTGTACATCAAATTTTGTATTTAAAAAAATAAATGAATAAATAATTTCAAAACATAGACAACAACAGGATACAGGAGAAACAAAATTAATTTAGGAAGACAAATATGTGTGCCAATTTCTCGCCTTCTTTTCAATACAGTCAGAGGATAAGTAGGGGATATAAAAAAAATGCAGCATTGTATCTGAAAATAACTTTTCAGAGTTCATTACAAAATCCACAGGAATCCTTCCGGACAACAGAAACAGACTAATCTGTTCCACTTGTGCAGATAGCCCATCACGTCACCCTGTTCATTTCGGACCAAGACAAAGCCATTCATTCATCAAATTTGGGTGGCATCATCATCATTGCCTTTCTCACCCTGCACCAGGGTATAGACCACGGACAAACACTTTCCACCTTTCTCTATCCTGTGCTAGCCATGTCTGCCCACTTTTCTGTACATCGATTTCTGTGATTCTTCTAAATTTGGCACAACTCATCAAACTGTGGCCAACATGACAAACACGAACACATTTTCTCTTTTATTTGAGGGAGAATGAACTTGCAAAAAGAAGCAGAAACAAAAGTAGAAACTGGGAGCATAAAGCAAACACACCGAAGCAAAAGGGTAGGGTCTGTTCCTTATTAATGCAAAACACACAATGGTGGGTTATTTAAGACATATTTCTGCCAATTTGCTGCACATGAAACCATGATTGGATGATCAATGAATAAATTGCACATTTTCTAGCAGTTAAATATATTTAAAACCTGAGTCAGCTGTACAAATTGGAAATAACATTATAATCAAGTAGAAACAGCTGAAAAGGAGAAAATTCCTGTCAACTTTTACCACCCAAAAAAAAAAGAAGTAAAATGTACACACATAAAATAAAAGAGCAAACAAGAAGCAAGGGATGGAAAGGTTTGCTGTAGAAACACCACTGAGGAAAAGAAGGTATGTTCACACTGATGAATACAGTAGGTCTGGTCCCGAGTTTACAACACATAAAGGGGTTTGGGTAAAACTACTCCAAAGAAAATTCAGAGGCATGCAATGTGATAATTTACCCATTCTAAAGAAGAGCAGGTCAGTCTTCAAGGCAGATTAAAATTCAATAGAGCAACGTTCACCATTCAGTTCCCAATTCAGGATCAACTTCTCATTCTAAAACAACTGAACACTTCCAACAAGGAGAGCACAGGCAAAACGACTTACATCAACGAGCTTCAACAAAATATTAAACAACTCAAGCTCCATGGCAAGGAAGAATCTAGTTTGAAGTATAGAATTAGAATGATCAATACTTTTAGCAGCCACGGCAGGAAACCCAACAAGAGCACATAATTCAACACCACAGCAATTTGGTAATTTTGGTGGGCGTTGGGTATCACCCTGGTAGTGATAGGTGTTATTTTTTTACCGCGTTTGGAAATACAAGTAGGTGGGCGGTATGAAAATGTAATCCTTTGAAGGGGTCAAAGGATGAAAATGTGAGAAAAATGAGTATTTGATGTGCTATAGCACCAGGTTTTGCGTGTTGTGATAAATAAGCGACTGAACAATAAAGATAATGTGTCTTAAATCTGAGATCTTGTCAAAACATGTTTAGCGAAAATACAAACAAACTAAAACCCAGTCGCATAGACTATTAACAGACTCAACGAACTTAGCTTACAAACATACACTAGTAAGGAATTATTTATTAACTTTTTTGCCTGCTTCCTGTGTATAACAAGACTAACTCATGAGTTCAGTAGCAGCTTTAATTATATCTAAAAAAAACAATAGTTTCAACCTATCCCTCCCTGGCATCTACTCGTCAAATCAATTTTCTGGGAAAAAAACATTTTCAACAACCTGTCAAACATAAAGTGCTCATTATCACTCTTCTCAAGGTGGAATTCTGAACCATACACCATCACATCCTACGTTGCAACATTCCCACCGCAGTACGCACAGCTTCGAGAGCCATGGAGGAAGGCATCCTTTTATCTTCAAGAAAAATAAATAGACAAGACAAAGCTGAATCATTAACCCCTTTCATCTTTATGGGAAATTATGGATGGAAAAATTCTCACATAAACCTTAAAGCATTAAGCCTCTCAGGCATCTTCACTGGCAGCTGGTGGCTTGGTTTGCTGAGGAGCACAGTAGGGAGCCCCCAGGAATTTGTCGGCAATGCGACCAGCCTCACGGAACCCACTAAGGAGTGCACCATGCACAGTGGCTGGGTAGTTGCGGATCGTGTGCTCCCCGGCAAAGAACAATCTTGATGGAGCTCCTGCCTGGTGTGCAATGGGGGATGCCAACAGGTCGTAGTCATTTCCTGGCAATGTGTAGTACAAAGATGTTATACAAATCCCATTAAAAATTAAGTTCTAGGAAAAAAAAAGACCAGAAAACATATTACAATTTCAAAAATGTTAAATTAAAAATGAACCCTTCCCCCCAAAAGCCACACAAAAATATAATTTTTTTGCACAAATTATAAGATAGTATGGGCAATTGAAGCATAAATGATTTATTGCAGAAAAAAACATTGGAAGGCTATAAAGGATACCAACAAAATATCTTTAACATAAAGCTAGGAATAGGTTGGGCCAAACGAAGCACAAATTTTGCAAAATGCTCATGACTTCTGACGACATTCAAGAGATAAGTAAAAACCTTTTCAGACGTGTTCACATTATAATTGTCAGGAATAAGATTCTATCATCAGCAGATGAATGCTGAGAGACCAACTGAACTTTTTATGAAGACTGGAAAAAAAAGAAAGAAGTACAAACACTTCCTCCACCCATCTTCTTCTTGTACTTAAAAGCACTCACAAAAGAAGAAGAAAAAGAGAAGAAACTTTTGCTCACCTGAAGACCCAGCTGCAACGTATGAGTAGGATCCTCGAGCGTACGGGTCTGCTCTCCACCTGGACACCAATGTCTCTTTGGGCTGTCAGAGAAGCAAAAAAGAAATTAATAAAGTCCAACCTACTCTAATGGTCAACCATCTAAGATAAACACCTGTACAGACAACCACTTCTCATTGTGTATTTTTAAATTATTATTATGACATTGTCCCAGAGGTCCACCTGTCTAAGACAATCACTTTTCTCCTCAACAATGGGTGGCTGTCTTGGACAATTTTAACTGTACTCAGACTTGATATTTGGGGGAGGGGGGTTGTTTTGGTAAGTGTTTTACTGCGCTTGCAAGAGCATAAGGTAATATGAACAGGGAAGACACATTAAGCATTTTACAGAATTAATTTTGAATTTTGCCCGGATGCCAGCTGAAGCCTGCTCTTATCAATTTTAAGACCATTGAGGGATCTTTTTTTAACTACAGTGGAACTCGGATTCAACGAGGTCGTCGGGCCTGACCTAAAATCTCGTTGAATCCGAGTGTTCGTTATAGCAAACACGAGGTTTTGTGTAGATAATTACAATGACAATGACTATGACAATCTTTATTCATCTCGCAGGGAGAAATTTGTATTGGTCGTTAACAATGGCAGTAGACGTTACAAAAGTTAGACTTAAAGGTGCACTTACGCAAACGCACAACAAGACAGGACATTAGGCCAAGTAAATACACGTCTCACGGGCTGGGACAACCCGCTCCGTAAAACATTCATTCTCTCTCTCTCTGTGTCTCTCTCTCTCTCTCTGTCTCTGTCTCTCTCTCTCATTTGTAACACTGTGTGTTCAGTAACCTCACTGCAATTGGTACGAATGAATTTCTATATCTGTCTGTTCTTGCTTTTTTGGAAATGTATCGTTTACTGCGGGTCGATAGTTGAAATTCCTATGTCAGTGGGTGGCTATGGTCACTAAGCATTATTTCCGCCTTTTTTAGAACGTTTGTCTTGAGCAGATATTCAAAGTTACTTAGTTCTCTACCAATTGTTCTAGATGCCTTTCTTATCAACTTGTTTATTTTTATAATGTGCTGCCTTCCCAGATTGCTACCATAGCAAGTGATACCAAAATTTATCAAAGTTTCTATTGTGGTGGTGAGCAAGTAATGTACAAGAGAAGTCACACGTAATGCCTGAAATGCCAGCATATTATTATTATATGAGCTGTGTAAAAAAGTTTTTAAAAAGACCGATTCGTTCAAGTACACACGCCTGTGTCATCTCGATTGTTTACCAAAAAGTTGTTTTGCTGTGTAGAGCCTAGCATACGGCAACTTTTGATTCCATAGACAAGTGCACAATTCATTACGTAGATCTACGTCAAAACTTATTATTGTAAAATGATCAGTTGCCGAGGGGGAAAAAAGACTGTGACGCGTTTGTATAGCGAGGTTCAACGTCCGGACCGCTAGTGCCCCCCCCCTCCCCTTCCCACCCCAACTCCCTCTCCCCAACACACACACACAGCCACATGTGTGCAGGCCGCCCATCTGACCCCAACACATGCCAGAGTAGACACGTGCGCGTGCCAACAACATATGTGTTGGTATTTAATTAAAAAGGCTGCTTTTTGGTCACATGCAATCGGCTAAGTGAATAATGGTTCACGATGCAGGTGCAATGGATGGTTTCCGGGAATAGATAAAATTCGTTCTGGGAGAAAAATTAGCGAAGCCACGTCTGCGGGGGCTGTTCACCCTGGAAGCCACCTCGTTGAATCCGAGCTCGCTGATTTAAGGGCTCGTTGAATCCGGGTTACTTTTATTGATTTTAAAGAAGAAAAAAAACAAGGAATCTATCTCATCTCGTTGAATCCGAGTTCTCGTTGAATCCAAGCTCGTTAAATCCGAGTTCCACTGTAGAGCATTTGCAACTTGCGCATGAGACCTCCTAGATTTTTTTCGCCCTTATCCAAGAAGGCTAGGAGTTCAATATTACCTACCCTAAGATAAGGGGTGAAGCTGAACGACAGCAGTAAGAAAGAGCCAGGAGCAGCAGTAGAAAGGAAGACTTGATATTGGTAGTCTTTTTTCCTCTATTGACAACAGCCACATCTCATTGTTCATCAGGTTCCATATCAGGATTCAATATTTATCTCTAAACATCAACCAAATCTATTTCCTTTGTCAGCTTCGTGATGGAACAGCCATAATAAGATGAGCTCCCACGTACAAAAATTATTTTCCATTTGACACATAAAAAGGAACAGTAAGGAATAGTACATAATAATAATAAATAGCATTTGTATAGCGCATATCCCTGCTCAACAGCAGACTCTATGTGCTTTACACTATATTAATACCCCAGCAGACCATAGAACACTCCAAAACATTCTCAGCTTCCCGGGAAGCATACAGTGCAAGCAGCTGATTAAGCGCTCAAACACTAACAAACTGACAAGATCTTTCGCTGTCTATAGCCGGGTACCCATTTCCACCTGGGTGAAGTGAGGAAAATTCGAATAAAGTGCCTTTCCCAAGGACACAACGTCGGGCCCCAGACGGGATTCAAACCCACGACCTCACTAACAGATATCTTGTAATAACTTGAAGACTATAAACATCATTAAAAAGGTGAAAATACAATATCTTGCACCATTTTTTTTTTAATGGAAGTGTTTTTATGACCCCATTAGCATAACTTATATCATTTACAAGGCTTCTTTCTGACCCTGCCTGCCACGGCCAACCCCTGGCTGAGAGGGATACAACTTCCCGGCAGAAAGGCTGAGGTACTCGATAAAAATTTCTTCCCCTTCAAGAGGCGAATGCAGGTTTTCAACAGGCAACAGCAAAGCCCGTAACCACTGGCTACACCACAGATGACAGTTTGCACCATATATAGAGATACCTGATTGGTTAAAAAATACATGTAAGTGAAGTCAGTTCTAATCTTAGCTTGTCATCTCCGAGCCAATAATAACACTACTAATGAAAAAAACACCCTTTTTCTAACAAATAAGCCAGTATTCTCATCTCCTTTTTCTACCTACTTGAGAAAAGGAATGTCTAATTGCATTTTCAACTGTTCAGTGTAAGACTGTCATACATCACTTTTCCACATGGCAAGAGTCTTACACTAAGCAGCGGATTTGAAAATTTATAACTGCAAACAAATATCTTGTTAACTTCACCACATGTCTCACCTGGGGCACAGCATTCACTCCAAAGATCCCTTTCATGACGACCAGACACCTGCCAACAATGACGTCGTCGCTGACATTCTCCATGATGGCGGCAGCCTCTCCTGCGATCAGAGCCAGCAGAACAGGGGCCTTGTAGAGGTTCCAGAAGAGGAACAGTTCACCTCGGCTGGCAGTTGTGCTGCCTACGTGACCAAACAAATTGGCACTGGGGTCCCAGAAGACACGATCAAAACATAACACAACCTGAGGACGAAAGCAAGGTAATGTTATCATTCAACAGAAATCTCTCTGCGTTTTATTATCATAAAAATGAATGCCTTTTCACTTATTGCTGTTCTTTACATACTTTAGGCCTAGAAAAATATGTATGCTTAAACATTAAGAAAACATAATAGCTGTATACTTTGGAGACCGAAAAGATTGTGTCAAGAATAATGTAGAAATAGGTTTAGTCTTTTTCATAAATTTCAGGTGCAAAGACCTTTTATCATAAGGAATCTTAATGGTAGAAGTTAGAACTTTGCAGCTGTAGCTTTTATACCAAAGACAAGAAAAAACATTTCAAATATTGTTGGTACAGATTGTATTGAATAAAAATAATGAAATACCTTGTTCAAATTTCCAAATCCCAGTCTGCCAATAGCATCTGCTTTCCAGTCTGGTAAGGGAGGGATAAACTGGGGCACATTGGGCGTGTTGTTGACACACTCCTTCAGCACACCCAGGGGAAGTGTGCAGAGTACGGCATCAGCTTTGAGCACTTGTTGATTGGAGCCATTCTTTGCTGTTGTGACAACTTCGGCACCTGGTAAGCAAAAAAAAAAAGAACTCATTGAGACAGTACTCTCTGACTCCCAATATTCATTACATGAATTAAAGAAAAAAGATTAAAGCCATTCAACAAAGCCATTCAAATTGTAATCCATTCCCCATTTACAAAATACAGAGGAATCCTGCTATAACGAGAGGGAGGGGACCGGAGTAAAACATCCGTTATAGCAGGATTCTCGCAATAAGGGATCCAGTAATAAATTCAAAGGAAACTGTAAAGTAGGCCTAATAATATATGAGTTTGGTGTTCTGTTTATTTAATTTTCTTTTGCTATCTCCCCATATGATGATTCTGTTTCAACATGACGTCTAGGTCTTACTTGATCAAAAATCGAATCAGGTTCCTTTCTCTAGTGCTAGATCTGGCGATGTTGACTGACAGCTCGGCGTTGGCGATCAGAAAGAAAGGGCTCTGAGCTCACTCGCCCGCTGTGTTTTCCCCCACCCCACCACACCCTGTGGTGCATTCCGTCAGCTTGCACACGTCACTCATTCACTCCATCCATCACATTGCTGTGACCTCTCCATCCCCGCATCGGAGAAGTGAGAGGCAACGTAGGTCTTGATAATCTAAACTAGGCTTATGCTGGCCTATCACGAGATGCGTTCTGCTTGTCTGCGAATGCCATACCCTCCACACTCCGTCACTCCGCCCTTTATTGTTGACACACATGGGCTCTCCCATTCTTTGTTTCGCTAGATCACCAACAAGTTTTGCAACTGGCGAGGTTTTACTTTATGTACAATTGGCCTATGCACTGTGCACAGCAGCAGCAATATTCCGCTATAACCGACTCGCATGTTTGTCGGATAGCCCTATAGCAGTATTTTATTTATAACGGTAAAGAAGAGGAAAAAACGGGTTTTAGAATAGTGTCTTTATAACAGACTTCTCGTTTTTTCCGGACTCGTTATAAGTGGACTCCACTGTACTGACAACTACCTAAACAGAAAACAGTCATCTATCTGATGCCTATGACTTTTATCACAGTTTAGAAGGATTGATGTGTAAACATTTTGCAAATTTAAGGCCATGAAGTTAATAATTTTGTGTACCTGTGAGTGTGTGAAGGTGAGAGTAAATATGAGTGTGCTTGTGTGTGCATCCATAGGAGCATGGCTTAAAAGAAAAGGTGAAATGAGACACTTTCTTTTTAAGCATAACGTACACAGGTTTTACAACGAGAACATTTTCAGCCATCCCTGACAATAGCGATAAAAGCGCATAGTTATGTTGATACTTTTCCAACAGCTGCCAAATGAATGAGTAGAATTAGAATGGTAGAGAAAATTATCAAGAGTAGCAGTTTGAGGGTGTATGCAATTCACTAGTCAAGCAGAGAGTTTCTCCAGATTATTTTTTTTTCCAGACAGTGCTAAACTATGTGAATTGTTCTATCCTTTTAACCTCTTTGTTGCCAAGAGGTGTGCTTTCCTAATGTCAGCACTGATTTTCAGTTAAGCTCGTTTTATGTTTTCAGTTTATTGCACAGAATAAAATAGTCATCAGACTGCACTCAGCAATGTCTCACTTTTCGTCTTTATCTACCCTCCTTTTTTTTGTGTTTGTTACTCTCATGTAACACCTCTTATCTCAGGGTTCCTGCCATGAACTTCCCACCTAATTCAAGGAGATTTCAAGGAGGTTTCAAGGAGAAATTTTTAAAATTCAAGGAGATTTGGTCAAGAAATTCATGATGAAAGCCTACACTTGTCCGAAAGGAACCATATCATAGTTTCGATTTTCCTACAAAAACTGTTCCCAGGGTGACTACCAACCCGGTTTCTCAATGTTCCAGGGGGGCTCATCCATTCTCCAGGGGCATGTTACATAACAATGACAGTGCATGCTCCATTTATATATTATATATAATATACACACACACACACGTGCGCACGCATGTAGGTACATTATATCCAGTCAACAACATGATGTCAGTGTGGCACTGGGATACTGTGGCTTAGGTATTTCAGTCTTACTTGTACTTATTCATATTTTCTCCTCATCATATTCGCCTATGTTAACTATGTCAAAATACCGGACCAGCCGACTGACTTTGCCTATGTCTCAACCTTAGGAATTCATGATTTTCCCCAGTTTTTATCTCTCAACTCAATGGAGAATCTCGAACCGGTAGATTTATTCATTAAAATTTTGTCAGGGGGGAGACCCCCACCCGCCCCACATTCTCGCGCAATAATGTATACGAGTGGTCCGGTATTCTTCAATCTTCCCCACATGGCTTACAAGATTTGCACCAACGCACGCTTTGCAGAGAGCTTTAGATAGTAGTAGTAGTAATCAAAATTCTGAAAAGTAAAATCTGCTTCCAAGTTTAGTTTTTGTCATCCGGTGTTGCCTTTAACCCCCCCCCCCCCCAAGCACGTGCGTCTTTAAAAAAATAATATCAATAATCCCCCCCGTTCCCGAGTCCTATACTTCGCAGAGCTCAGACTTTGCATGAACTTTGGTGACCTCAACCATCGCCGATACTCACGATGTGACGAAAACGCACAGGTTCAATGACCGGTCAAGTTGGCGAGCCCGACAAGAAGCTTATATAACTTTCTTTTTCTTTTTTTTTTCAAAAGTGACAGCACAGGACAAACGATTTATTTTCATGGCAACACCGCGTTTGTAATGCAGAACAAATGTGGCGCTATCAGACTACTATAGGCCCCACCAGCAAATTTCTGAGTGGTAACGAAAGCGAAAGTAGATCTTGATTTTCCCGATCGAGCTTCGGTATCGCACGTACACTTCCAGTTGTTGCCGCCATAACCGCCCGTGAGCGTGTAACGTACTCTCAGTCCGGGAAAGGCCGAATACAAATATTATATCACAATCGCGACCGGCAAAAAATTAACTCAAGGACGTTATCGGATTTGGTTTTCAATATTCGAGAACGTTTATGTATTTTCCCGGATCTTTCACGGAGCAATTTGCCGATTACTTTAAATTCCCGTTGCATTCCGGGTCTCGGCGATTTTTTTCAAATTCCTGGATAATTCCAGGGGCCCCCGGGATTCCCGGGGCCTGGCAGTCACCCTGTACACGTGTTCCTGTCCGATCTGGCAAAATTCAATGAGTTTTCAAGGAGATTTTTCCTTGAATGCAAATTCAAGCAGTTTTCAAGGACTCCTTGAATTCAAGGAGGCCGCGGGAACCCTGTTATCTTCAGCGCTTATATGACCTTATTGTGTTGCAAGTGCCGTAAAACTCACTAAAACTAAAACTAAAATCTCTCACTTGTTCAATCTACTTTGAAAAGAGTTTGGTGACCCTTGCTTTACAGCAATCAAAGCAGGGTCCACAAACTTGGTTCAGAAATACCCCTGAAAGAATTCTAAAGCTGAAAACACATACAATGTAGTGATAATGATAAAAGGGAATTAAAAAGGGAGTAAAAATATGAATCTTACCTTTCTCAGTTACTTTGATTTGCTTGACAACGGTGTTCAATTTATAATCCAGTCCTTCTGACAGAGCAATGGGCACACAGGAGTAGCCATTCCGAACTGACAACAATAAAAGAAACCCAAAAAATTAACCAGCTATACATTAACAAAAAGGACCAAAAAAACTTTTATCTTCATATAAAAACAATCATCTATTCTTAGACCTCTCAGACCAGCGTTTATCATGTAACGGTTAGGTGTTTTGTCATCTCAAGCAGGAGACCCAAGTTTGATTCTCATGTGAGGACTCAATCATCAGTGCCATTATTGACAGATAAAAGAATTAACAGAAGTACTTGTAAGTTTCAAGAACATATTAAACTGCAGGAAAAAAAACTAATCTTATTACAATATGCCTGAAAAATATGGTAGCTTTCAAGCACAAAGGGGCTATCCCGGAAAATGCTGTTTTGAGAAAATCGAAGGTAAAGTTTTTGCCCCTTGTTCAGTTTCTTAAAAAGACAAGGAGAGTTTTCTCTATAACCAAACAAATATACACACCAATGAAACCAAACTTCTCCTATAGGTAGGGCAATACCCTCTTTTGGTGCAGGTCAAGATTTCTAGAAACCCCCGAAATGTGGGTTAGCCTGCTTGTCTTTAAAAGCGGCTATATATTCATTAAAAATTTGGTAAACCTAGATGTTAGAACATGCATAACAATAACAGAACTTCAATGTCACAAGAAAAAATTGTCAAAGGTAGCACTAAGGGCAACCTTAACTATAAGGGCTTCAGACGAAGATTTTGTTTTAAGAAATCTTTTAAAATTGAGACACGCTGCAAGTTTTACCATGAAAATCGATGAAAAATTCTGAATGAATGTCCTTACCGGTAAGATGACTGCCAGAAAACTCAAAGTCATCATCCTGGTCCCAGTGTTTGAGAGACAAATTGGACAGCGGAGTTGAGTTGGCAAACTCCAAGTTGGCAAAATGCCAGTCCATGATCTGTCTGTCTCTTGATGACAGGTACACATCACTGAAATAATCATGGGAAAAAATCATACAGCTACCTCTCAACAGCTCAACAGGTTCGTCACTGTTAATTTCATTTCTTCTGACTTATCATTTTTATGAATATCAAGTAGCATAGCTGTCTACTTTGAATATTGAAATAAAAAATTTTTGTTCTCAGAAATAACAACAATAGTTCTGAGGGTGGTGAGCAGCTTGCCACAAACACAAACATTCTGACAACCGTCCATTCCTTTGACACATAGTAACAAACTTGTAGCAGACCCATCGTAGAGGGGAAGAGGGGTTGTTTGAGACAGTTGGACATCCTGGGCCGTGTCATTACAATACAATAAAGAGAAGAAAAAAAGGGGGGTTGGGGGGTGGAGGTGAAGTGGGGAGTTGTCGTATGTACAGGAGATTTTTGGAGGGGAGGTAAGTGTTTTACGGCGCCCGCAACTGCATAAGGTCATATGAGCACGCGGGACACACTACACATTTTCAGTTAGTAGGAAAATTTGAATTTTGTCTGGGTGGCGGCTGAAGCCTACTCTTATCGAATTTGGACCACCAAGGGACCTTTAACATGCGTAACTTGCACACAGGAATACAGGAGATTGCCCTGGACAGGTTCTCATTAGAGAAGGTCCAACTGTATTTCACTTCTCTTTTGGTTTATTTGAACATAATGAAGAAAAAAACAAAATGGGTGAAGTGGAAAGTTGTCGTTTGTGGACAGGTTGCCACCAGAGCAGGTTTGACTGTATTTGACTTTATTGGTTTACTTAAACTCACCTGGGAGGGTTTGCTTCAAGCTCATGCAGCTTGTCCTCAATTTCTTTCTGTTTTGCTGTTGACTGTTCATACTCCTGTTGATTAAAGAAATAGAAAATTGTATAGCTTCAAACTTAAACAACAGTTATGAGAGAGAATATCGTACAAAGATCAGTAAGTACAGAAAAACAATGCTAAATAAATCAGTTGAGTCATTTTCTAATACAGAACATAAAAGTGTAGTTCACCCTGGGGACCATATACTCGTATGATGAGCTCATTCGAATAAGCATGTCGATTTGCAGTTTTGCTGGCAGATATCACAATTGTTTGATTTGTGCATGTTTAACTATGTAAACTCCATGGGGTTTTTTTATTTCTAAAACTGGTGAGATATATAACTTGTTTTCTTTATTTTCTTCTGATCTGATTAATTTCAGACTAAAGATGGAATTAAACTGGTGGTTAGTGGGTGCTCCAGTGTGGTTTGCTCTTCCTTTCCTATCAAACATTCATTGTATTTATCTCCCCTTCTTTTTTGTGTTTGTTACTCTCTTGTAACATCTCTAATCTGTGGCACTTATATGACTTTATGGTAATGTAAGTGCCGTAAAATGCTCACAACATAAATAGGTAGAAAAAAAAGGGGGGGGGGAAATTTCAAGTGAAAAGCTAGGAGTTGGAGGGCCGTGGCACCAAACAGGGGAACAAGTAAGTTGTAGTATATTTTTTACAGAATGCTTGATACGAAAGATTTCAGTTTCATGCTGGCAGGGAACAATGCAAAAAGCCCAGATTCACTTTGAGAAGGGTACAATCAAAATTAACCTGTTGTTATCATCACACCATAGCAGCGGTTTTTTAAACCTGTCAGCCCCTTGGCCCATGCCCAAATGCACTACAGCCTTGAAATCAAATGCTTTACCTTGACAGCAGCATTGAGATCCCGCAGCTTGCTTTTCACCAGGAACTCAGCTGTGATATCCCTTGGCGGTTTTACGTCTGATGCTTCACGCCACTGTTTGTGTAGTTCCTGAACCTTGTCTTTCAATGTCAACATCTTCAGAGAGAAGAGAAAAATCAAAACTTAATCAACCTTTTCTGTATACCTCTTGTGAAATCATAAAACAACAAAACACAGGCTATTTTTGCTTCTGTATGCCAGCTACCGCAAGGAGTCAAAAGTAGACAACAGTTTTCAATATCAATTTAAGAATCTTTCCTGGTTGTGAAACCTTATTAATGTACTGTACCTGTAATCCTCCAATACTGATATCATCCATGCAATAAACATTCGGTTTGACCATAGATAAGATAAATTTGCTGAGGTTTCGTATATTTTGTTAAGACTGTAAACAACAAAGTGACACCAAACACTGGCTGAAATGGATCACCTTATACTAAGACTTAAGATATAGTCGACTTTCAACAAAACAAAACAGCAAAGTCATCTCAAGGACCAGTACTCACTCACCTGTGCCTGGCACTTGCGTAGTTTCTCTTGCATCTCGATGATGTTTCTCTGATGCTCACACTGTTTGTCCTTCACGTGCTTCTCCTGTAATCTGATATCACAGAAAAAAACAGAGACCTCATAAATGAAGGTCTAAAACAACTATAACATTTTAAAAGTTGCATATAAAGTAAATTACTGTGTTGGAATACAACAGAATGAATATGTTGGCGGCTTTTGTTTTTATTTTCTAAAAGCAATGGTGTTTCTGAAAGCACATGTCACAACTCAATATCACTTTGTAATAATGTTTCTGAATTGTATGTCCACTGCAATGTCCTATAAGATTATTGGGTGTTGAGCCAAAAAACTAAATTTCAATACCAATTGCCAAAGTGGCAGAAAAATGCATGTTTCTTTGTTTTTATAATTTTGACAAGCGCCTGATTTCACCACGCTACCTCACATATATTACATATAGTATTAACTGATCACATACAACACATAACATCAAAATCACTTGAGAAGATAGAAAAATGACTTACTTGATGACTGCTTCCAAGGCCTGGCCTAGTGAGGCTGGTTTGCAATTGATCTCGTTAAAGTTCACTTGATGAGACAAATATGATGTTGTTTCCAGTAGTCTGTTGAACTCACGTTCCACCATTTCATCTTTTTCTTTCAGGACCTAAAAATACATACAATGAAATCATTTATATAATTCTCAATACTGAACAATTAGAAATCACAAGGAAGAGAAACCAAGTTTAAGTACAAAAACTCAGTTGTAAAATAACCATTCTGTTTTTTATCATTATTTTTTTTTTTAATAAAAAAGTTTAAAATCCAAAAACACACCTGTACCACCTCCCAAAACATTGTCATTTCATATGTGAATTCATTCTAAACGATGTGCAACAAAATCTTCTTCATATTGTCTTTCTACAACAAACTAAATTTGATACTGAATAGTATTTTCATACACAATTCAAAAAGAAGGGAAGAAAACTGTTGCTAAAACAACATTTGTCAAAGATTTATGATGCTTTACCCAACTTACAGATTATCATTGGAAAAGCAAACACTTAGACAGTAGCAACAGTAAACATCTTTTATTGTAATGCACCAGAAAGTTCCAAGAATGCTAGAAATTTATTTCTAAACATCAGACAAATGAGCATCTTGCAATACAAGAAACTAATTTTTGTCCTTTGATTTCAGTACATCATAGAGATTTAACCCACTGCTGATTCCCCATGGAAACACGGGAAAGTAATCATTCCTCGAAGTGAGTCAGTGCTATTTTTTCTCATAAGTCGGTTCAAACTGAACAACACGATCAAGTTTCCCATTTGTTGAGGCGAGTTCTACAGACAAACAATAAAAATAATCCTGAGTGAGAGAAAAATAAAACCAAACTCACCGTACATCCATTGCTTTCGTATAAAGGACATTTCTGTTTGATCTTGTGCAATTCCATGTTGATCTGTTTACTGAGAACTGTGACTGGATTGCCACCTGACAAACAAAACCAAAAAAAACAACTTCATTTCTGCACAAAACACTCAGTTCGGTTATTTCCAAGGCAAAACAGCAATTCAAAGACAGTACTTTAGAGAAACAAGTTTGTCAAAGTAATGGGTGACTATTTTTTGTGTTTGATATACAATATAAAACAATGCTCACTGAAAATGTAATGATAATATTGTTGATCATTAAGGATATAGGCTGCTTCAATTCCTGCCTATCAGGGCCAACCCAAGCTGTGAAGGATACAATGTCCTAGCAGACAGACAGAGATACACTCGATTCAAAAGAAAAAAAAGAAAAAAATCCCCACACAAGAATCACACTCATCTCTTCTGCATGTGGCGAAGAAGCACCTGACTGCTACACCACAGATGCCAGTTAAGTTTTATGATATAATTATAGCACCATCAAACCCCTCAAAAACTCAGTCTTAACAAACTTTATACACCTAATTCTTCAGTGAATAGAAAGAATGTTTGGAATCTTTTTTTTTCTCTTTTTTATTTTTTTGCTAAAGAGAAGCACACTGACAAAATATAATCAATATGTGCAGGGGAAAGTAAAACAGGCAGAAACATCAGCAGAGGGACAGTAGAGAAAAAAAACCTACCTATGGCACCCTCTAACCAATCACAGAATACATACATAACTCTATCACAGAGTTTTTACACAGTTCTAAATTCATTTGATGGTTTCTTCAGAGATCAGACAAATATCCCCATAACAAAATGTCTTATACAGATCTTCTTACCAAGGCCTGTGACAACCATTGCACCTAAATCAGCGACATAATTTCCCCTTCTAAAAGTCTGGATGCGTCCACCTACACGATCCTGTAAAAAGAAAAAAAGATACAAGAAGGCACAGTGTGCTTCAATTCCAATTGCAAATTTGAATATCCTCAATGCAGCACGTCACATTCTGGAAGTCTTCGCACAATCATAGAGAAATTTTGACACACATAGAACATTTTAAGAGAGAAAAGCTTATCTCATTCCAATGAAAAAATAAAACAAAGAATAAAGGAGAAGATATACCAATGTATCAAGCCACAGGGAAGAACAAAGAAGGAAGAAGAGAAGGGGGAGAGGACAGACCAAAGCCAGCATTACACATATACATGGAATATCGTCACTGTCAATCATCATAGTCGCATGTCAAAGTATGAGGTTTTCACCAGAAGCAAAAACCTGTTTTATTTAGCTCAGGACACTATCTTAATACAAAGTGTTTAATTCATCTAAGTCTGTTACTCTAGAATAAATCGATCCATCTTATCAACTCTACAACATACTTGATTTTCTTTTTTTTTTCCCTTTGACATTCTACAATGTTGAATGATAACACAGATATGTTGGGCATTCCATCCTGTCAGGAGCACGGTGTGTCTGTTTGTTATTTTCGAAACCACGGAAACAGCGGATGGGGGTGACACTCAAAATAAATGATTGGTCATTGAGTAGGCTGAACGTCCCTTTTCACATTGGTTACTTTAGAGGTGGAACCCCCAAATGAAACACCCAGCCCATCTCTGATAAGACCAAGCCAAATAGATGGAGAGCTTTGAAGGCTCCCCAAGTTCAGAGCCCCCAATTAGGGATTCGAACCAAGGCCATTTAATCATTTTTTTTTTTTTAATAGAGGTTTTACGGCACTCACAACTGAATAAGTTCATATGAGCGCCAAGGGGTGGATGTCAACAGAGAAGTCCTTACAGGGAATCAGACTTACTCTGCTCATCTCTCTAGCTTCAACACCACAAAGTCTGCTTCGACTATCAAGGCACCCCGGAAATAGCCGGTCACAAGAGTGTGACAAACATACAAAAAAAGTAGAGGAAAAATGACGATAGTAAGGATTAGGAAAGAAAAAGCATCCGTTCCCTGTTGGAGTTCAGGCACAGTTATCAGCATGACATTGATGAATCAGCCCATTTACAATTTACAATTCTACTGTGCATAAGAACTTGAGATGTAAATGTCCCCCCCCCCCCCCCCCTTTGGGAATGGCCCAAAGACACCTCAGTCAGTAGCACCGCCCCGGGGGGTACCATCTACTCTGTAGTCCAGTATGATACCAAATGAGCTAATGGTGCATCTTGGCAAAATAAATAGCTCAACAGCAATATGACAGATAAGAAAAGACAACTTACTTGATAACATAGCAAGATTTGTTAAAGCATTATGTGCTCCTCAGTCAGTAAAATAACATCACAAACGAAAATGAAAGCAAATGTGGCCATTTGTCACAGTGCACCACCCTGTTTTTCAGGCAGGCTAACATGCTTTGTCCATAGCCAAACTTCATTTTCACATAGGAGCCTACAAATGCTATGACAGACATTTGGCACCCTTTTATGATAATGAAGTTTATCCACCCAAAACGCTTCAAGAAAATTTGTTTTTTGTCTCTCCTGTAAAATTTGAAAAACATGACTTACCATAGTTTACTTGGCCGCCCTCGAAATTTAACAGAAAAAAAAAACTTCAACTTTTCATTTAAACGTTGGTTGGCGGGTGCTCTGGTGTGGTTTGCTTCTTCTTTCCTATCAAACATCTATCGTCCTTATCTCCCCTTGTTCTTTTTTATGTTTGTTACTCTCTTGTAACACCTCTTATCTTCTGGTGTTCATATGACCTTATGCAGTTGCGAGCGCCGTAAAACCTCTACTAAAACAAAACAAACCTTTTCAATATGGAAAAACAAACAAAATCCTAGTACCTTTGTATGTATTATTTTAAAAGCATTATACCTACCCGAGCTTCAATAAGGACAACATCCACTCCAAAGGACATCAACTGTCTTGCAGCTCCCAGCCCTGCAATTCCTGCACCTACAATGATAACCTTGCAGTTCTTTTTGGCTGAAATAACAAAAAATGTTGAAAATGATGCTCGAATAAATTCTCATTATGTGATTATCAATTTACTTTTCATAGTAAGCACTGAGCAGTTCTTATCTCAAAGAGTCGGCTGTTCTGCTCGGTTAGTTGTCTTTGAGTCATCCAAAATACACTGACATTTTTATCCTAACACAACTTTTGTTGAAATGAATGTGAAACACAAAAAATAGCACTGATATTAGCAGTAAAGAATACCAGCTACAGTAAATATCCATGAAAATGTTCGTTAAAGTACAGTATGCCACTGTATGTGTTAAAATGTCTTTTCAATAAAGAAAAGTTATTTACAAGGGGGAACTTCCAACTTTACATCCATCTCCTACATCCAAATGAGAGGAAAGCCTTGAAAATCTTCAAAACAACCGAAGGTCAAAAAGGCCCATTAAGGAATTCAAACCATGGTCATCCACATGATGGTTCAGCATGAAACTAAATGTGCTAAAGGCACATCCCGAACAGAAGTGAACCCTTCCTACTGAGCTCACACCGTTATTGTTCATAAGAAAAATATACAACATTATGTTGTCTTTTCTTCATTCTGGTTTTGTTTTTATTCAAAACATTGTCAAATTCACAGCAAGATACTTATTTCCACAATGATTTCAAAATCATGACATTCTTTTCTAAATGTACATACTCTAGAATTTCAACACAAGTACTTTACAATCATTAAAATTTGTAACCACTAAAAATACCTCACCTGGTAAAGGCTTCAACCGCTTGAAGATGCCAAAGTTGATGAAGCTGTACCGTTCCAGAAACGAGTGAACTCGCAAGACCAGCTGACCATCACCTAAGTAAAGAAGACGTTTATGCACTTTTCAGCAAGAGGAGATAAAGTGAAGATTATGAAAAGAGTACGATATCGATCATGACATGTCCAAACCTCATCTACAATACTTTGTGGAACCACTGAGCACCCTGTTTCTGATGTTTATTCACTTTTTCTATAAGAGGACAAAAGATGAAAATAACGAAACCACTACTTTACTTTGTGGAACCATTGAGCACACTGTATCTATTTGAGATTACATCATTATGTATACTGTTGTCCCCGAAGAAGATTTCTGGCTCACGGTCCAGCCCTTCAGTTCCGGATACTGCTTTTTATTTTACTTTTTTTTTAAGTCAGTGTTTTAGATACAATGATGATGTTTATGGTTATGGTAACAATGACGACAGTGGTTGTAGTGACAACAAAGTTAAACATTGAGTATAATTACTGGTAAGAAATCTAATGATGAAGAAAATGCTGATAGTGAATGTTGTGGTGGTGGAGAGAAGAGCCTGGCATCATAATAATCATTACAGATTGCGAAAAAAGGGCGAAATTGCATAGGTCTAACAACTGTGCAACGCAGCAAGGTTACTTAAGAGGCGTGACTTCTGATTTTCATGTCCACCTCCCAAAGGACTGAGTCAAAAGGGAAAATTTGTAGAAAGAGTCTTTCCTAAGAACACAAAGTCAAACTAAGCTAAGTCTTGAACCCCTTCACCCATTGCGAGTCAGGTAGTCTAACCAATACACTACCGACACCACCTCAAAAAGAGTAACTCCTATCAGGAGACACAATATGACACAGTCAAAGTACTGTGGGGCTAAAGTGTTCCAATGATTAGTGAGCACAGATTCAATACCAAAGATATGCAATGTTGGTAGAGCAGCATTTAAATGAGTGTTCACTAGGGCGTGCCCTTGAAAGCCAAATCTCTGCAGAGACAAGTAAAAGTCTTTGCTTTTCTTTTAGCGATTATCTGTTTACTCATGTAAGGACAGCAATACCACAGCATCTAATTCAAGTTAAGCAACAATGGACAAGATTCAAGATTTTCCCATACACGACAAAAATAATGAATATCTAAATAAACCAGTGACAATAGCACAACACAAATTATTGAGAAACCAAAAATTTTAGGGGGTAGAAAACTTTCTCTGGGTTTTTTTTATAACGAACTAACACATTTAGTACAGGAGGTTTGGACATGGCAATAACAATACCCAGATCAATGTACACTTTAAAAAAAAGTATAATACTACAACAGATGATGAACCAAAATTGTGGTTTTGACATTTCAAAGAATAATGAGTGGCTGAGTAAAATATGCCAGCTAACTATCTGTCGCATATAAAAATTCACAAGTTGGTTTTTTTTTAAATAAAAAACCTTAATCCAAATTAAAAATCAAGAACTTCACCTCTCAGGAATAAACTCATCTTTTCCATGTCTGTATATTCTAGGTTTTTCTAATGTTTTATTGGTACTTTTAAGCTTTATTTTTTTTTAATGTACACCAGACTGAACCTACTGTTGTACGGTGGTTCAATTTCCTGTAAGGCAGCTTCAAAAGTCAATTGTTGCTTCGGATTCTCCAACCATAGCTGCAACTGTTGAATTAAGATTTAAAAAAACAAGAAATATTGAAAATGTTTTAATGTGAGGAAAAACACTGAAATCAGGTATGTACACTGTACACATTCATAAACAGGCATCTCCTTAACTAATAAACAAAGGCTTTCTTAACGAAAACACTTGTCCTTCAATAGATCAAAGAGATACTTTCAAATCTTTTAGAAGTTGAAATCACGAACAAAATTTTAGAACAGAAAGAAGGAATTACTTGTGAATGACAAATGAAAAACAAAGTAAAGTCAATAAGAAAAATAAATTCTGACAATTTGAAGGAAAGGTGGGAGAGTGGGTTAACAGGAGAGGGTTTTTGAAAGTGTGGCAAATGGGATGGGTCTAGAAATTAGATTAAATAGGAAGCGTAGACTCACAATCCTGTTCCTTAGGTGAAGGAACACTTTCTGAGACTGGGGGGGTCCCTGGACTATATCAGGGAAAGAGGCAGCTTCCTGGGTTGTCATTTTGTCCACTGGAAGTCGACTCTGAAAAGCTGCCCCCTCCAGACCTAAACAGGGAAAAGTACGCCAAATATGAATATGATTATTTTATCTTAAATCCCTGTAAACATTATTATGAGAATAACTAGGAGGCAGGACCTCCAAATTAACATTGATCCCCAGTGGGACTAAACCAAGTGGGTGGAAAGGAGAGTCTTGAAAACCCCAGACAACTCAAGTTCAAGAACATCCCATTGAGAATTAGAGGTAGAGTCATTTGCACCATAATCGAGCACAATAATAGTATTAGTTGAGCTATCAGAGCATCCAATTCAAATATGAATACACTTTATGACATAAAATCATGTACACAGAAAAAGTACACTACAACCTCAATAACAGAATAAAAAACATTGAAATTATGTGAAATTTAAATAATTATGTCCTGCTGAAAACAGGTTTCATTCTCAGCTCAAAAATATTGTCTTGAAACAATAAAGCATACTAAAGTTCATACTGAATTTTCATACACAAAAATTACAAAAAACTAGCGACAACTAAGCTCGAGAAAATCCTTTATCCGAATGAGAACAAACTTTACCTCAGTCCATTTCATTCCGTCTTACGTTAACAGCTCTTAAAATTTAACTCTTTTCAGCAACCTTCAGAAAAGGCAAAGCAATTCTTTCATAAAATATTAAATTTCAATAAAAGAACATTGAGAAAACGGGCACCTGAAACCTAAATACTACGAATTTACTTTTTACACAATTTCTATTGGAGAACACAAAGTAAGCTTAATATTATATGTAAAAAGCAGTTCAAATATGATTATCACCTGCCCTATGCCGTCAGTAATCTAGCGGTTAAGCTACTGGACTCATACCTATATGGTCAAGGGTTCAAATCCAAGTCTGGACCCGATACCCGATGATGTGTCTTTGAAAAAGGCACTTTTCATAAAATTTTCCAGAAGAGAATGGGTAATCATCTAAGACAGTGAAAGATCTAGTAAGTACAGTCGAACCTGCCTTAACGGAAACCTGTATAAAACGGAAACTTGTCTTAACGGAATCTCCCCGCTCCCCCCTTTATATATTCCTCTTTAATTACCTGTATAAAAACGGAAACCTGTCCAATGCGAAAACGGAAAGAAAAATCTGCTCCCTTCCAAGGGTTTCACCTGTCTAAGACGGAAAATGCTTTGCCCGCTCAGCCCCGATTTGAAACAAAACTCGCAAGTTTGGTTCCGCTGGCTCTAAACTAATGCTATGGTCATGCGGCTGGGCGAGGAAGGGGAGTAGGGGTGCAATTTGGGGGTAGATGTTACTCCATCATGTGAGCCCTCAGCGATGCAGATGGTCAGTGGAGTGTGGGTATGAAATATCACGACTGCCCGTGAGAGTGCTCGAGGAGCCAGCCACTATGGAAACTTTCCTGGGTCCAGAAAGAAGCCGGAGGTGTAAAATTAGATTGACCAATGCCTGCCGCCCTGATCGTACGGCCAGCCGAGAAAAGAGTTTATTGAATCGTTGTTACAATGGTGGCAGTAAGGGGTGGCATTGGTGGGTGGGGCTAAGGATGGAAGCAAGGGAGATGTTCAAACGTTTCTGTTTTAAATAGGTCAAACGGTGGTCCTATGAAAGGCAAGCACTGGTGGTAATTGGATAAGTAAGACTGACGCATGTCATTATTAGACAGGATAGCAATTGAGAGGTGTTAAGTTTTGATCACTGCTTGCCGATCGGACAAGCAATCCTCGATCCCACCGGCTCGGCCTTTGAACCCCCCCCCCCCCCCCCCAACCTCCATCTCCCCATAAATTCCCCTGTCTAAGACAGAAAATGTCTGAGACGGAATTTTTTTCTGGCTCCCTTGCGATTCCGTCTTTCACAGGTTCGACAGTATGTTAGTATTTGAACGTGTGTACAATAGTAGCTTGCATTCAAAACACCCCAGAAAGTTGTAATATTTTAAGGTCCATCCCGATAACATCAAATTGGGAGGTAAATAGATCCTGCTTTCGATACAAGTATAAAAGTGCAATCTATTATCAAATGTTCTACACTGTCTAAAATACAAAGCGTTGCAGGAGCAACATGCAGCTCCGTCACCAGCCAGCTTCTTTGCCCAATGTGACTACCTGCCTGGTTTTTAGTCTCATGCTTATGCAAAAAAATGTATCATTTGTCAGCAAAAAGATAACATTAATCTGAAAGCAAGCAAAAATTTAACTGTATCTATTTAACACCCTTAGCAATGCTTAGGTTATTTCAGAGGCGGGACCTCCAAATTTAACCTGCACCTCCAATAGGACCACTTCAAATGGGAATATTTGTGTAAACTGCCTTTCCCAAGGACAGACTGAGTTGAGCCTTGAATGGAAAACTTGTAGAATAAAAAGGAGGCAAGTCCGAGAGGCGGAAAGGACAGTAGCCTCACACATATAGAATGTAATAAACCTACCTGAAGGATCATCTGCAGAATGGTCGCTCTCTTCAGCAATTGCTTCTTCATCTTTGGAGCTTTGTTTTGCGTCTTTCTCTTTTTGTTCTTTTCCTTCTTTCTCTTTTGGTTCTTTCCCATCTTTAGCTTTTGTATTCTCTTTTTCCTTTTTTTCTTCCTCTGAATAGAATTCATCCTCTGAGATATGAGCTAGATGTTCGTCCATTTCTTTGTATTCCACCTGAATTCATAGAAAACAAAAGATTTGTGAGCATCTAACCAAAATTGACATGACGAAATTAAGTGCATTTCGCTGAACTTTAAACAAGCAAATAACTGTAAAGCAACTGTGTAGTGTTGCTCTACTTCCTTTAACTCCTTACCTTTAGCAAGCCACTGCCAGCGGCTCGTGTCGGAACCGCCTGTGCCAGTGGTAGTGGCCCGGGCACATTCCCTTACTACCTTCACGACGACTTCGACATCAAATTACTTTTCAGCAATGGTCAAAAACAAGTATCTTTAACTAAGAGTTCATTCATTAGATGAAGTACTATCAAAATAGGTTTACTAGTTTTGATTTAATAACCAATTTAGAGATGTTTATGTCACTTTAAGATTTTGTACCAAAAGAGGGCCCCGGTAAAGTGGGTTTACCCCCTTTAGAGATAGGAAGTTCATTTTTTGCACCCACAATTTTTTCCCATTGACTCCCCATTCCTCCCGGAATTAATTTTCTCAGGAGCGCCTTTTACAAAAGGCTACCTTATTAAAACTGATTCTACTATCGTATTTTTGATACTACTGGAAAGGTAATTGAATTAACTATCACAATAGATGGGTTGCATGGTTATTTGTGTCATTATGTAAGTGCGATTACGTAATAAATGGGGGTAATGACTGAAAAATAATAAAATTGACTAGTTTGATGAGTTTCATCCAGCTTGCTGTCACCATTGCCTGTGAAATACAGACTGATACTCATCAGAAATATTCCAATATAAATTGGCTTTGCAGCAGTACCACATAAGTAGGTATTCCAGAACAGATTTTGTTCAATAATTCAGAGTAATTGAAATACATTAAATGCTATAGTTAGCCCAAATCCAGTCTCCACTGATAGTAGACCTAGACCGTAAACCTGCAAGCAGCTCTTGATTCTATCCTTGTAATAAATCTAGTACTAGCAGTAGCACCAGCTTTGTTGAGATTAGTAGCACTAGATCTAGACTTTGGGGTCAGGTTATAACTACTGGATGATTCAGTTTCACCACTGTTGTCAATACTGCTATTCTCGCCAGTTTGAAATTACTATTGAAGTCTAGTAAGCGTGGCCAACAATGTAATCATAATTTTTAAAAAGCTTATATTAGTCACGTCAACCAGGAAAAAGATAAATATGGGGCTTTTGTTTTGCGTGAATTTGTTGCCCTAAGCCAGTGTTGTCATTAGGAACAAACAGGCTTACTGATTTTTTTTTTAAATGCTAAATTCTCTTAAGAAAAGCCGACTAATAATGAAACTAGCTGTAAAGCTTCCAGTTTTTACACAAATACATTCAGAAGTAGCAAAATATTGCCAAAAATAGCAGTCAGAGCCGTTTAATAAAACTATACCAATAAGGACGATTGAGTCGCTCTTCCGTGGAAACCGTGTTCGGCCAGCGACGATTGGGTCATAATTCTGGACGGAATGAGTTAAGTTATATCGATGCAGGAGAGGAATTCCATAACTAGTGACCACTGTGAAATGTAAATTATCTCTCTCTTGCCCTTTTTTTAACTCCCAGTGGAGCATAGATCATCAACAACATTTCTCCAGCGAAGCCTGTCCTGTGCATCCTTTTCTAGCTGTTTCCATGATGTCCCCAACTTTTCCATTTCCGCTTGTGCCACTCGCCTCCATTTCTCTGAACCATACAGTAGAACAGTCTTCACGTTTGTTTTGAATATCCTCACCTTGGGTGTTCAATCCCAGTGGCTTAGACATCCATATATTCCTGAGCATGACGAATGCTGCTCTTGCCTTTTGGATTCTGACCTTGATGTCTTCATCTGTTCCTCCTGCCTTGTTGATGACACTTCCCAGGTAGGTGAAAGATTCAACATCCGCCAATGGTGCCCCTTGCAGTGTGATAGGAGCGTCGGCAGCATTCATTTGAAGAACTTTCGTTTTATCCACGTGAATATGGAGTCCAACACTACGGGAGAAGGTCCTGAGGCGATCTGTCTTCTGTTGCATCTGGGCACTGTGAGAAAGAAGTGCCAAGTCATTGGCAAATCCAAGTCTTCCGACAACTGGAAAGGGTCCACTGAATGCCACTGTGTTGTCCGCCTCATTATCAATCCACTGCTAATAAAAAGAGAAAAAGCGATAGAATGCATCCCTGTCTCACTCCTATTTTCACTTCAAACGAGTCTGCCGCAGTGTCGATATCCGCCTTGGGAACTTCTGGGGGAATTCCATTTGGGCCGGTCGCCTTGCCTGTTTTCTGGTGTCGTATCGCCTCCTTGATCTCCTCTAAACTGGGCTTTTCTTCACTCACCTCCAGATCAATCTCTGCCGGTGGAATGTCAAACTGCTTTTCTGGCCTTGGTCTGTTCAGCAGCTCTTTGAAATGCTCCTTCCAGCGTTCTTTCTGTACATCTGGATTTTTTAGAAGCTTTCCTTCTTTATTCTTAACTGGCACATCTGCGTTCCCTGTATCTGCCTGCAAGTTTCTTGGTGGTTTCATACAGTCCTCCCATGTTTCCTACCCCTGCTGCTTCCTCTGCCCTGTGCGCCAGGCCATCTACATAGTTTCTTTTGTCTTTCCGTATGTTGACTTTTACACCCTTCATTGCTTTGGTGTATTCTTCTTGGGCCTTTGCTTTGGCTGCTCTTGTCTTGCTCCTGTTTACCTGATCCTTTTTCTTTTTCCTGGGTATAGTTCTGAACCACCATCATTTACTACAGGCAGCGACACACAAAATAAACATACAACTAAGTGAGCAATCAGAGGAAGACTTTAAAGGACTTTCGTCGTCACTACGCACATACAAAAATAACTGGAGTCGTAGGGAGGAACTAAATGGGGAGATTAGACATTTAGAAGGTTGTGTAGTACTTTCTGACTCTGAAGAGGAGAGAATTAACTTTTTTTTAAACTGATGGAAAAAGAAGGCAGGTTGTCTGAGAGAGAACAAACCCATTAGCATTTGGACTGGCCCTATTTGTTCTCATTTAGACACCATACTTGACTCACGCAACATCACACCGTAATCATCACAGCCGCTGTTTCATTGGCAATCACTGCCACAAATACATCAAGAGTCGCGTTTATAAAGACCTCACTGTATTAAATTTATTGCAAAAGAAACAGTAGAAAACACCCACATCCAAAACATAAATAACACCGCTTACACTCTCCAGAGAAAAATTCAATTAACTAAACAACGCATTTAGGGACGTTCACATCCATATCTCATATGGCCAACCAGTGTCAAAAGACAGACTACAAGACATTGTCATTGATACATGCATCCTTCCCAAACACTACATTCTAGAAAACCACTACATCCCGTGGATACAAACATACAAGTTTGGTTTGGCTTTACATGGGGAACAGGGTGGTGAACTTATCCACGCTTCTGTGGTAAAGCTGGAGAGATGAGGACCGATGAGGAGCTGGGATAAGTAATATTGAACAGCAGCTGAAAGTTGTGATGCAATCTTAGCACCTCATGTCAAATCCTGAACTATTATCCAACATGCCTTCGACAAAGAAAAAAAGGTTATACTGCAATCAACTCTTCACTACTCCAAAGCCGTGGACTTCCCACAAAATAAACAAAGTGAGTGAGTTTTGATATTTGACCATTTCTCGTGTATTTTATGTGAATTTGAAGAATTGTTTAAGTTTTGTTTGATCGAAATTTTGATTTTAAAATCTATACCCCCCAAGGGCAATGTTAAGATATGAGCCATTTTTGGAATACTATTATAATATATATTTATATATCTTTATGTCACACAATTTCACATCTTTCTCAGTAAGTGCAGAAGTTCTCCAAACGGGCAAAAAAAAATAACGACAAAGTCACTGATCGGCATATTTTGCAAGTTCAATTGTCCTAAAAAGGAAATAAAAGCGCTGTCAGCGGGACAGGGAATTCCCCTGGCCACGAGTTCATGACCCGGTGACCGGGGTCAGATTACAAGATGCTGCTCGCTGGCTGCCTGCGAACTAAAGTGCCGCTTCCAAACAGCCGTGTAGGGTTTGGACAAGACTTAGATTTGAGTTTGGAAGTGTATACAGACCCGGTAACTGGGAACAAAGTCACCCAGTATACAGACCCTGTACGGGAAATCTTTTGTGATTTCGGAAAGTTTCTGCACCCTCTTAGCTCAAGGTAGACCTGGGTACTTCTAGAGATCATCTCTATATATATAGTCTAGGTTTAGATCTAGACAGACATAATAGAGATCTAGATCTAGTTTCGAGGCCTAGATCTAAATGAAGATTGCAGATGCCTTTTCGATGAACAATCGCTTTTCCTTCGTTTTCCAGTTGGAGGAATCAATAAGACAATTTGAAGAAAACAACAATGTCATAATTTTTATCGAGCAGTCACCCTCTCTACTTCTGTCTCTCTCCCCTCTCTTTCTGCCCTTCTCTCTCTCCTCTCTGTGTATCGCTCGCCTTCTCATTCTCTTTGTTTGCCTCTGTCTTTCTTTCTCCCCCATCTACGTTCCCACTCTATCTTTCTTTCGTTCCCTCCTATCAACTGGGGCATGTGATATTTGCTGGCACTTCCCCCTGTTCTCTACCCCCTCCTCTCTCTCTCTCACACACACACATGCACTGCACACTCACACACACACTCTACCGGGTTCAGGTGCTGAAACTTCCCGAAATCGCAAAAGATTTGAGAATACTTCGTGACTTTGTTCCCGGTTACCGGGTCTGTACTTCGTTTGAGTTTAGGGTTCAAGTTAAGGATATAAGTTGGAGTGAGGCTAAGGAAGAGTTAGGATTATAACACAGATTATACAAATATAATTATAATGAAAGAGAATACCACCAAAAATGAAAAAATAGCAGTTGCTCATTAGATCTCTAGGCTAGGCGTAGGCGTAGGCAACGCTACAAAATTAAAAACTTTTTCCCGATATAGAAACACCTAAAGTCTAAAGAAAAAACCTTTAAGCCCTTGTAACAAGCTTCTGTCGAAAAACCAGAGATTTCACTATGAGGCTAGGAAGACTAAACAGACTAAAATATAAACTAACAGTAACAAGTTTACGCCTCACACGGCTTCCGTCAACAAATAGGGTTGGGTCGGGCTCGCAAAATTAGCATCCGCGAGTAACGAATTACTCTCTGGCAGTACCCGCAAACGAGCGGACGGGTAATGAACCGTCCGCTTGTGAAGAGTAGTTCGCCACTCGCTACACATCGGACAGAGACAACAGTTCGCTTAGCGAGCGAGCGGACGGGCGGACCAAGAGACTCCATGCAATCGAGCGGGCGGACGGACGGGAGCAACTCCTTCCATTGCATACAACCTACAACCCCCGCCCGCCCCCAAAAAAAACTAATTAAAAAATCACCCTCCTGCCTCACATTGTAGCTGGGCGTTCAAGGCGGAAATTTCTCCCCCCGGCCTTTTGCGATAATTGGAACGTACACAGTGTGCCCCACACACGAGGTGAAAGGTTACACACATAGTACTACGTCACCAGCCTCTCTCACTCCCTGTGGCACTGCTAGGACTAGGCTAGTGGCTTGAAACATTAGGCCTAATGGTAAATTTTTACTCTCACTCCCGCACACAGATGCACTGTTTCAGGGGTCAAACTGCTGTACTGTTTGCTGCAGATCACACATAAAGCCACTAAAACTGTCGCAAATCAATTATTTTCAAGACAATTTCAAATCTAACTGTAAAATATCAAATTATGTGTAAAAACAGGGGGGCCTTGTAACCCCCCAGATTTTCTTTTACCCTAGTGGGGCAGGTCCCCCTGGAACCCCCCCGATTAGTCCAAAGCACGTCTATCTCGGTTAAAAACAATCAAATATTTCAAAAAAACTATTAATTTGCGACGGAAATGATGTGAGTGGTTGGTGGGTGCTCTGGTGTGGTTTGCTCCTTCTTTCCTTTAAAAAATCTATCATCTCTATCTCCCCTCCTTTTTTGTGTTTGTTACTCTCTTGTAACACCTCTAATCTTTAGTAGAAAATAGACAACTGGTAGCTGAGTGTGAGACGGGAGGGTAAGTAAAAAAATACCGGCCTAATTAACAAGGCCACCTCTATTCTCACCCCGGGTGAGAATAGTGCAGGCGAGTCTTTTAGCTATTCTCACCCGGTGCGCGTTCACCGTTATAGCCTAGATCTAGGCCAACCAATTTTGCATTCACCCTAAACCACAGAATTCTACACTGTGATAACAGAAAAATTGTAGAATTCTGTGCCGTGAACAAACGTTCCATTACTACTACTGTTAGCATACTAAAAGCGTACAATTTTGTCTGTGGGCAGTGAAGAGAGAGAGAGAGAGAGAGAGAGAGAGAGAGAAAGAGAGAGAGAGAGGAGTAGCGCGAGAACTACCGGGCAAAACAAAATGGCGACCCGCGTAGTTCGGCTCGATTCGAAAAGTTAAATAGCCGTAGCATCTTTGTAGACGACCAAATTAATTTACTTTTGTGTTTTAACATCATTTTTTAACTTTGTTTTGGTCAATTTGATCGTCCACACCGATAGACAGTATTCAGAAAGAGAAAGAGAGAGAGAAGAGGGGAGGAGTAGATCTTGCGAGAACTTCCGGGCAAAACAAAATGGCGACCCCCGTAGTTCGGCTCGATTCGAAAAGTGAAATAGCCATAGCATCTTTGTAGTCGATAAAATTAGCTTACTTTTGAGCTATAACGTAATCTTTTCTTTGCCTTTGTCCATTTGATCATCCACATCGATAGAAAGTATTCCGAAATTAGGAAAAACAGGTCTTGTTTCACACCGGGTGAAAATAGCCTACGGCGGCAAGTCTCACCCGGGGTGAGAGGTCGATCGTATTTCTATTCTCACCCTGGGTGAGAATAGCCACTTCCAATTAACAAACAATAGACTCAATAGACCGTGGGCCTAACCTCGCGTCGAGTACCTCGTCTGCTAGAGTTCATCCGTTTGCTCGCCCGCCCAGTGAATAAAACTATGGAGCGGACCCAAAAAACTAACCGACTTGAGGCTTGAGGTCCGCAGTCCGCCGTACGCTGAGAGAGTCAAATTGTGGAGCAGACCCAAAAAAACGAACTGTCTTGAGATTCGCAGTTCGGTCTCATGGCCGTCTGTTACCCGCTCGCTCAGACTGAGTCCGCAAGTAACGTACCCGTCCGTCCGCTCGCCCAAACTCTATCAACAAGTTGGTAAGCGAACCCGAAGAATATCATGAGTGCAGTACAAACAACAAACCACAACAAACTTAAGTCAAGATGACAAAAGCACATACTTTCGCTCTTTTGCGTTTGCTTCTGCGACCAACATCACTGCCTGAGTTTCCTTCCTGGTCATCGTCGTCGGCAGGGAGCGGTCGTTTTCCATGCTCACTATGCCCGGAATCATCTTTTTTGGGAAGAAGGGTTGTTACTTTCGTGCTGGAGGACGCCATTGTATCTAGCGTTGTACAATATGCCTAAACGGCCAGATGAACATACAAAAGTTTATCCAAAAGACCAGCATGAAACAGGGAGTCATTATTGCTTTTTTCGTACTCGTTATCAAATTATGTAATTTTATCGTTCAACAATGAGATTTACTAATCTTTTTGTAAAGTACCGGGTAGAATTTATCATTAGATTTTAATCTAAAATTTCTTTGCTATCTATCGATTCCCTGGCAAATTGTACTTCGAAGGGAGTTAACTCATGAGTGATTTGAAAGAGTAAACTTCCGCTTATTTCAACACTTCCGGGTGTTTCAGCGTTTCTTCTTTATTGTCAACAGTCAACATCACATGAAACTGTGTTGGATTTCTTCGAACTGACTCAGAAGTTTTGTCATTTAAGTACTAAGTCTTCGTCTTGTCAATATGGCAGGTTTCTTCTCTAAAAAGCCCACTGTTCAAGGTAAATCCAGCTGCTGTCTTACACTCTGATTCGAAGGCTACTCAAATGATTTAGATTGACTTAAAATTGGCCTTACTTAAACTTACTACTATCAATCGTCATTTCATATTGTCTCTTTATCTCAGTAGATTCTTGATCTAGATAATTCAAGTTTCCCTTCAACACTCGACTAGATAGACTTTTTATGTCAAGTTAAACAGGTTCCTGTACTAGCGTTTTGATTTAAGGCTTTTGTCCTCTGTGAAGGCCTAGATCTAGGCAGTGCCTACATCTATGGCATGGCCTAAGGCACACTTACACTACAGATTTCATGATTACCATTCTTGAAAGATGGCTTTTCATTGTTGTTTTTATAATTTATAGTTTATAATGGCATTAGAACTTTCTAACTTACTTTGTTGATGATTTAAGCATTAGATTAAGTAGGAAGACAATTTAGCATTTTAGAGGTGTATTTCTAAGCCTAGATCTAAAAGTACTAAGGCTGAGCAATCGTTTTACAATTTATTCTTGATTGTTCTAACTTTAACTTGATGTGTCACTGATGACTCAACGAAAAGTATTATTTTATCTTGATGGCTTTAACATGTGTATTGTAATAAGCTAATTACAAGTGCACTGTACTTGGTTCCTTCTGTATCTTCATTGCAACAATTGTTCAACCATTTATGTCATCAAAAAAATGCATTATAAAGTTATTAGTTTGGTTTAAGTTTAGGGGAGAAATACTGTCTACACTGTGCAGAAATTTCTCTCTTGATTTCAGTTTCATGACATGAAAGAACATCAAGCTGTTATCTCTAATTATTCAGTGAGAATTAATCCCTTTCTTTGTTGATATTTAGGTATTTTTTTACTTTCCCTCCCGTCTCACACTCTCAGCTACCAGTTGTCTATTTTCTACTAAATATTGATGCGCTGAACACGAATATCAACTTCATTTCCGTCGCAAATTAATGGTTTTTGAAATATTTGATTGTTTTTAACCGAGATAGACATGCTTTGGACCAATCGGGGGGTTCCAGGGGGGCCTGCCCCACTGGGGTAAAAGAAAATCTGGGGGGTTACAGGGGGGCATGCCCCCCTGTTTTTACACCCATAATTTGATATTTTACAGTTAGATTTGAAATTGTCTTGAAAATAATTGATTTGCGACAGTTTTGGTGGCTTTATGTGTGATCTGCAGCAAACAGTACAGCAGTTTGACCCCTGAAACAGTGCATCTGTGTGCGGGAGTGAAAGTAAAAATTTACCGATATTTATTGTAGCTGTAGACATAATTTTTTGGAAGAGGCTGGCCGTACTTAATGACGGCTAGACTGACAGCTGGGCTAGCCGTACTTATTCTTAATATGATGGCTAGACTGACCATAAAAAAAATACGAAGTGTATACAGACCCGGTAACCGGGAACGAAGTCACGAAGTACACATGTATACAGACCCGGTAAGGGAACTCTTTTGTGATTTCGGAAAGTTTCAGCGCCCAGACCCGGTAGTGTGTGTGTGTGTGTCTGTGAGAGAGGGGGAGAGAGAGAGAGAGAGAGAGCAGGGGAAAGTGCTATGCTAGCAAAATGTATGACACACCCCAGTTGGCAGGAGGGAACGAGAGAAAGATAGAAGAGTGGGAAAAGGGTGGGGAGAAAGAAAGACAGAGACAAAGAAAAAGAGAATGCGAGCGATACACACACACACACACACACACAGAGAGAAATAGAAATAGAGAGGGTGACTGCTCGGTTGAAATTATGACATTGTTCTTTTCTTCAAATAGTGATTCCTCCAACTCCAAAACGGAGGAAAAACGATCGTTCATCGAAAAGACATTCGCAGTCTTCATTTAGATCTAGATCTAGGCTAGCCTCGAAACTAGATCAATGATTTATGTCTGTCTGTCTAGATCTAGACCTAGGCCATAGGTCTAGAAGAACCTAGGTCTACCCTGAGCCAAGAGGGCGCTGAAACTTTCTGAAACCACAAAAGAGTTCCCGTACTGGGTCTGTATACTTTGTGACTTTGTTCCCGGTTACCGGGTCTGTATACACTCCCAAAAAAATAGGCCTATTAGATTGAATTGTAAATATAAATTTTTAGTTTGCTGTACCTAAAGTATTTGTATTTGAGACGAAACCAGGTGTCCTAATGACAGTGCATGTATTTTAAACCTCCTGTTTTCTAATGTTAATAGGGCTTAAGATAAGTATGGCTAGACTGGCAGTCTAGCTGTACTTAAGTACGGCTAGACTTCTTGGCTAGCCGTACTTAAGTACGGGTAGACAGCCAGGCTAGCTGTACTTTAGGACGGCTAGACTGTCAGGCTAGCCGTACTTAATATTGATGGCTGAATTGTAAATGAAATTTTTAGTTTGCAATGCCTAAAGTATTTGTATTTCAGACAAAACCAAAAGGTGCCTTACTGACTTTCATGTATTTGAACCTGAATAATTACTAGATCTAGATCTAATGAGACCTGTGTACTTAACAGGCTTGAGTCGATAGGGCCAAACCTAGATCTTAAGTACAGCTAGCCACTTCGTAATTTTTTAGGCCTCGTAATTTTATTCGAAGAGAGTTATGAGTTGGACTTAATGCGGATCGTGTGTGTCAACAGTCATGGTAGGGGCCAACGTAAACAGTTCTCTATTTCTTCAATATGCAGCGATTTCATCATTTCGTTTTTTTAGCCACCATATTGTGAATGAACTTTTGGTTGGAATATGCCCTGGCCCTGAATCCTTTAATCTCATCTCAGTTTATATGCCTTTTTCAGAACAAATAAGGGCAAATGACAGAGTACTGCGAAAACAAACAAGGGATTTAGGAAGAGACAGAAACGCATTGGAAAGAGAAGAGAAGAAATTGGTATGTTAATTTATAGTCAATGACATGATCTTGTATACTATACTGTTCAGCATTGATTGAAAGTAGATAGATTTAGAGTAAATTGTTTCTAGTATTATTTCTTTCAGGTAGATGCTCTGAGTTTTGATTAAGTGAAACATTGAACTTACTATTGTGGTACCATATCGTCGGCCTTGTGATAAAACCGGCTAACCCCAGCGAGGTAAATTTTACAGGAGAAGGAAAAAACTGTTTTATTTCAAAACAAAGGCGTCTAACGATAAATCAATGCTTTAAACACCTATAAAAACACTTTACCGAAAATCTGTAGAACTTTTTTTCCTTTAAAAATTGCTTTTAATGAAACTGTGTGGGTTAGACGGTTTTGTCGCTCAAATTTTCCTGGATAAAACCGACCAACCCTCAATTTTGTGGGTTGACCGGTTTTATCAGGATGCCACTGCTGGCCTTGAGTTTGGTTGAGTGCAGCCAAGCCACACTTGACGGTAACGTATTTGATCACTTGCTTCAATCGTCAATATCTTTTGTAGAAGAAGAAGGAGAAGGAGGAGGAGGAGAAAAAAGAAGGAGGAGGAGGAGTAAGAAGAAGAAGAAGGAAGAGGAGGAGGACTATATTATTGCTACCAACATACTATCAGCTGCTGCCATTTCAGTGCTACGGAGTCAGTTCGGGCAAAAACAGCAGTCACAAAGTTTAACCTTTAATAGAAGTAGAAGAAGCAGAACACGGCAATGGGTATATTAATTACATTTAAAGTAGAAGAACAGGAGGTTGGAAGGGTAAGGGAGAACAGCTACAGCAACAACTACAACAACAACAAAAACAACAGTAGTAGCAGCAGCAGCAGTAGGCCTTTAGAATTTATAACCGTGTCCGACACGGTACTATTGGCACTGGTTGGCCATTCAAAGGCCTGGAAAAAAGTAATACTAAGAAAGAAATGAAAGCAGAAAGCCGCACAAAAGCTCTGCTACCTCGGCAATGGTTTGGGAGAAATTGGTTACGTAATGATATATCATTATTATACAAGAAGACTTTGTGAGTACCAAAGAATGCGCCAGCTTTCTCCAAGTGTGTGGCTTGACAACTACTACTTTATTTAAGAGTTTTCTCGACGACAGAAGAGCATGTCTATCTGAATCTCACTCTGTGTCCTATGGCTACAACAAGGCAATACGACAAAAGTTACCATTGTTTTGAAAGACTCTACTTATAATCGAATTTGGCTTGATCGCTTTCAAAACTTCTTACTGAGGCAAAGTTTCATGGTAATAGTGGTAGCATCGTGGTACGACGGCCTTCAACTCAAGTAGATGTTTATACTGGTTGGCAGTTATCTTCAATCTGTCTTTGCAGAGAGGTCCAGCAGTAACCGTCGTATATTGGGTGTTCAGCTTTTTTGGTCCTTGCAGCGCCTGCCATCCATCATCAAAGTTCAGCTTGTACTGAATTTTAAAGACTAGAGTGTACTTTGATGCCTGCAAGTCAGTGACAGTAGGATCGCCTGCTTTTCTCCCTGGACGGATTGTTTAGTGCTCTCCGACCTTTGCGAAATCTTTGAAAAAGCTGTGGTCCAGGTACATAACTTCATAGGGCCTGGGGATGCGTCTGGCTTTGAGCATGATGTTCACGTAGTCCATTGGGATGTACATCAGTGCGTTTTTTTAGCGATCGCTCAATAGTGCCATGGACTGAATCCACTTCCATTTGGGTATGGCCCTTGGGAAGAATTTCTGCTCAACAGTGATGTCAAGCTCTTTGGCCAGCGAGGCCATTGCACTCACCAGGGTGGCTTTCTGTTTTAGTAGTTGCGCCAATCACTGCAGATGATGAAGTGATTGAAGTCAGTCACTTGCAATATCAGTTAGTGAGTCAGACGTGATGAAAACTGTTGAAGCCCAGACCAACTTCACTTTCATACCAGACATATCATCTGGCGTTTCTGGTGGCAAGATCCTAAGTCGTAACATTGTGTACAGCCAGTTTTGTTTTATATAAGGTGGAAGTCTTTAGTGATGAGGCCAGAAGGACGCACTGGATCTCCATACAAAGAACACACATAGCCTCCCTGTCCTTCTCCTTCTCTGGTCTAACGGCAGCTTTCCTCATATTCATATTTGAGCTGTGTGTTCTGTTTCTGTGAGGTTTCCAGATTTGAACTTTGTACAAAAGTAAACCCAAATTGTTTTTCTTGAACTTTTGGCAGAACACTTGATAGCTCAATGTGGCTTTCACCCTCTCTGCAAAGTTCTCCATGTATACTTGATGCAGATCTGACGTTTTCTGGATTGTCATCTGTAGACAGGAGGATATATCTTCAAAAGTTTGTCAAAAAATTCCTCTTTATGAAACAACTTGTCATCCTTGGCTCTCTCATGGTGGGCGCGATGTGTTCTAGGTGGGTGGGCCTCTTGGTTGTTGTTTTTTCGGAGAAGACACTTTAAATAAACCAGTGGGTCAGGCCTGTGGTGTTCTTGAAGATTGTTTTACAAACAGGTGTTCTTTGACCATTGACTCTTGTAAGTGGCTGTAATTTCTCCTTGGGTTTTCGCTTGCTGTGTAAGATCTCTTTTTGTCTATCATGTTTATCGTGTCATATACGTAGGCTCTCTTTTCTTTCCAAGAGAGTGACCAGTGATATCATTGCATTTTGTACCAACCAGTTTACAACTGCCAAGGACGTCAAGTTCACATCCTGCTCCCTTCGTGCCTTGACATGGGTAGAGACATCCCCAGTTCTTTCAACCTCTTTCTTTTGTTACCCTTCCAATCTTTTTCATGCCATGTCCTTTTCGCTGAGATCAAAGGTAACATAACTATTGTACTATCAACTGATGTGACATTAGCCTGGTCATGTTGATCACTTTCCACTGCACTGAGAGTCAGAGGTGATGCAGCAAGAGTGGCATTATCTTATTGAATGTTATAGCGTTATGTAAGCTAAGGTTTGATATAAAGATAACGCATTAGGTTATGACACTGAGAAAATAATCTACTCAAAACACAAACGAAATGAACTTTCAAAGAAATTCGAATGATGTTTCAGAAGGTAATGACTGCAATAAACACAGCAAATAAATAAAAAAAAAGAAAAAGCACTTTAAAAAACAACGATCGTTGGGGGCTGGACAGGTCCGACAATTATTTTTTTTTTGAGTGAGTTAGTAAAGGAGGAAATGCTATCTACTTCGTCCATTCAATTGTGAAGGAAAAATGATTAGGAGAAGAGACAGTAGTCCGAATAGGGGAAAATGCCTTCACAATCGGTGAATTTCGAGTACAAAGACAAAGAAAAACACGCGGACAGAAAACATAGTTTCATTCAAAACAAAATCCATAAAGATGCATTTCAAATACCGGAATTGTCACGAGATAAACAGTTCTGTGGGAACAGTGGGGAGTTTTAGTCATTAATTACGTTATCAGCAGCATTAAAACGAAGAAAAAAGAGGAAACAACCAGATCTATATAACTCCCCAGTGAGATCAGCAAGAAATATTACACAAATATACCTTTTTGGAGAGCTCCCACGGTTATGTGAGCAAATTCTGAACTATTACAGGTCTGAATCTGATGTCAAACTAAGTCTGGAGACGAATCGAAACCGGGGTTAGTCGGTAACGTAGCAAGTGGCCCCTCATTGTTAGCGCGATAAAAACAGCCAACCCTCATTCCGTCCCTCGCAGGTGGGATAGTCGGAATTATCGGGCTAAAATCCGATGGGTGCCGGGTTATACGGTTTTATTTCTAATGTTTTAAAGACATTTCTAGACAAAATTCAGATCTGTCTTTGAGTGAGCATATGAAATGGACAATTTACTATCGATAGGGCCAATAAAAAGTTTTTTGATATTTTGTGGGTTAGACGGTTTTATCACCAGGCCGACGATATATATTAAATAAATTACACTTTTATTGATCCCAGAAGGGTAATTTGGTTTGTAATGGCAAACAAACACACACACACACACACACACACACACACACACACACACACACACACACACCTGCCTACCTACGACACCAGTACAAAGCAATTTGACAACCATGCCATTGCCAGTTGCTACTGTGGAGCACCCTTTTTTTTTAGCTAGGGTTGTCATGTCTTGCTCAAGGACACACCCCAGCGACCACCCACTTTAACCCTGTGTCACTGACACTTGTTTGACATTACTTGAGTCTAAACTCATTGCTCACTTAACCACTGGACTTAACCATGCACCTGTTCAGCTGATAATTGTGAGTATGCTGACAAAATAAGTTTCTTCTCTGATTTCAGCCCTCTGAAGATAAACGAGTGAAATTTATTTGAGTGTACAGTTTGTTAGTTTGAAATGATAAAAGACAAAGAACCTGGCATCAGTTGAAAATGTACAAATCTGACTCTCATTCAATTTTCAGCCTATATCAGTGATCACTATTCGCAGTAACTCATTTTGCCAGCAGGCCTAACAATTTTTAAACTGATGCTTCTGCCTGTGTGTGTGTGTGTGTGGAGAATATTCAGGATAGAAAGGCAGAAAAAAAAAATCCTGGATTAGAAATTTCTTTTTAGGCTTTTCTGGTTCCCCATGATGTGAATTTGTTTACTTCCCAACCAATATCTTCAAAGGTTGTGTCAAAGGGATTCTTTAATTTGTAAGTAAATTTTATTATTAAATAAATAATGGACATGAACTTTAATGCTTTTATTTGCTTTTATTTTCATGTTATTTCTTCTGCAGGAATTGGAAATCAAGAAGGCAGCACAGCAAGGAAACAAACAAGTAATTCACTTATTTTTTTCTTTAAGAATGGGATTATAAAAGAACTTAAAAGTTTAATTAATTGAAGTCAGTAACAATTAATAAGACTGTCACACTTATATTTCACCTATTTTATGCATTGTCTGTGTGAGAATGTGTTGTAAGTTGATCGTGTTTTTAACCTTTATTCAAAAATATATTGGTAAGTTTAATCCTTCCTTTATGTTTTAGATATATATTTTACTGCGACATTACAATTTAATAGTGTTCTCAACTTGATTTTGTGATTTGTTGTTACCGGTATCTTATCTTTTCCAGGCAGCCACCATTCTTGCAAAACAGCTAGTCAACCTGAGGAAACAGAAGACGAAAAGCTATGCAATGGGAACGAAAATAAATGCAATTGGTAACCAACAAAAGGTATGATCTTGCTCTGTTGTGGTTTATATGTCAGTTTTTGGTTTGATGTTATGGCATTTTTCTTCTTTTTTTTTTTTTTATTTCCCCAAGAGAGGCTGGAATAGATTTGGAAGAATTTATATACCCGGTAACTGAACTTTTTCTTTAGATTTTGTGGGTTGTTTAATTGTTTATAAAGATACGGACATTTCCTATTGTTAAATATTTGTATTAATTTTAACTTTATTATGGATTGCCTGAGCTCTTAATGGTAAGGAATGAGCTGTATGTTTGAGACGAATCTATGCAATAATGTAAACTACATGTCTGTTCTTAACATGTTGTAAATAATATAATACCTAAGTGTAGAGGATCTTCAAGTAGTTTGTTTTAGCTGAAGGCAATAACAATTTGCTTGTCACTGTGATTCTTTTGTGTAAAGCTTACTTGTTTCCTCTTAGTTTGTGTGTATGCTTTTTGTTTTCTTTCCTTTTTCAAATTTAGCTTTTTGGTTCGCTCTGTTTTATGGTACTGTTACTCTTCTTTTCACAGATGATGCACTCTAATATGAAGATGGCCAGTGCTATGGGAACCACAACAAAGGTGAAAGAACTTTTATGGTTTGGGGAGGGGGGGTCTATAGATATGCTGTTCTTTGTAAATTTGTTTTTAAGAAGGGTTTTTTTTTTTCGAAAAAGTTGAAGAAATGAAACATATTAAAAATACAGCTTGGGTATAAACCGAGATACCGTGGAACTCAGATTCAACGAGAGGAGATGGATTCCCCGTTTTTTTGTTGGTTTTTTTTTGGGGGGGGGGGGGGGGCTTCTTTAAAATTTAAAAAAATGACCCAGACTCTACGAGCACTTAATTCATCAAGCTCGGATTCAACGAGGACGCTTCCTGGGTGAACAGCCCCCGCAGACATCTGGCGTAGCTTCGCTCGTTTTTCTTCCACAGCGAACTTTGTCTATTACTGGAAACCATCCTTTGCAACTGCATCGTGAACCATTGTTCACTTAACCGATTGCATGTGACCATCAGCTGCCTTCTTTCATACCAACACATGCGTTGTTGGCACGCGTGTGTCGGGGGGGGGGGGGGCACCAGCGGTCCAGGCATTGAACATCACAGATACAAACGCGTCACTGTCTTTTTTTTTTCCCCGGCAACTGATCATTGTTACAATAATAAGTATGATAAACTAGTCTTGACGTAGATTTACCTGATGAATTGTGCGCTTGTCTATGGAATCTACATTTGCCGTATGCCAGGCTAGGCTGGAGACAAACGGCTAGGCTCTACACAGCAACACAACTTTTTGGCAAACAATCGAGGTGACACAGGCATGCGTTTGAACAAATTGGTCCTTTTTTTTTCTTTTCTTTCACAGCTCATAATATGCAGGCATTTCAGGCACCACTTGTTTCTTCTCTTTATACATTAGGCTCTACTTGCTCAGTGCCTGTAATTGTCTACGCAAAACCTCATGTTTGCTATAACGAACACTCGGGATTCAACAAGATTTTAGGTCAGGCCGGACGACCTCGTTGAATCCGAGTTCCACTTCCACTGTAGTGTTCTTTGAAAGATTTTGGAGTTCTATCTGTTACAGCCTAAGAAAAAGAAAAACGTTTCCCTCAAGTACATTTTATCAAATATAACCATTCTGAATTTTTTTTTGCTGAGAACAACCGACTTTATGTTGTCATTCATAAAGGTAAAATAACTGTTTTAATGGAAGCATGCTACATAACGACTTATGTCATTTCTCATGGTTTTGTGTAAATAGTGAAAAAAATATCCTGGTTTCATAGCTTTTTGTGACTCTGACCTATGATTTTCGTTTTGTTTTTTTGCAACTGGGAGGTTAATTAGAGCATTTAAACAGTTTATTAACTCGGTTGTGTGTGAGGAATGGCACATTGTCTGTTTGGTTTTGGCTTCAGTCCGACTTTGTCTACTACTGTAATATTTTTCTCATAAAGTTCATAGGGTTTCAATCTGTATTTTGTAGACGATGCAGCAAATGAACAAAGTTATGGATCCACAAAAGACCGCTGCCATGATGCGAGATTTCCAGAAAGAATCTACAAAGATGGACATGACAGAAGAAATGAGTAAGTTTAGAGTTCCTTACAATTTTGTGAAACTATATTTCATGGCAAAGCATAACAACTTGGTCTTTTATTGACTGCTTCCTAGAGGATTTGATATGAGAAGAATGTGAAGTTTTTGCATGTTCCCTAGTCTCATAATGATTGATCCCGTAAGTCTTTGAAGTAAATTTCTAAACTGTTTGTAAAAGCCAGCAGATAATAAAATAAATTTTTTAAGTCAGTGGTGAGGTCTGTCCTGGTTATGATATCTGTTTTTAAAAAAAACATTATTCATCTTCATTTGTGTCACAGCAGTCTTCAATTTTTGGACTTCGGGAATTATTGGTATAATCTTAAAGTTTGTTAATTCGCCCATGTTTTGATGAAAAACATACTGGTCCATCTTGAATAGAAGTCGAGTTAATAGCTACTGAAGTAAGCGGGGGTCACCTTACGTCAACGGTAAAAGTAGTGAGAAAATGGCCTGTAGCGTCCTTGGAAACTTCATAGTTGATTTTTTTAAACGTTTGATCAAAAATTTTCAGTGAAATCATTGCAAGAATGTGTTTTGAATGAATATGAAAGGTGAGCCGAAAACAGTTGAAGGGGGGGGGGGGTGTAAATTTCTTCTACATGTATTTCACTATTTTGAAGGGCATTTAATTTTAAAAGACACATTATTATAATTTTCATTCTATAAAGTACTGAATAAAGAAAGCGCAGACAAAATTAAGAAAATGCTCAAGAGGAGTTTGGTCCAATCCTGTAATGCATCCTTAAAGTCTTCATGGAGCGTTTGGCTTTTTTTTTCTTCACAGTTGATGATACTCTGGATGATATCTTGGGTGAGTCTGGAGATGAAGAGGAACAAGACGCCATTGTCACCCAGGTGTTGGATGAAATTGGCATTGAAATCTCTGGAAAAGTAAGTTTTTTATATTTTATAGGGACTTGGAGACAAGAGGTAGATATTTTGCCTTTTTGCTTCTCTTTGGCTGAAACTTTATGCCTCTTTCTTTGTAAATTTAAGTGAGTATTATCATGTTGACAAACTTTTCTCTAATTCGATTTGAAAGAACACTCTGTTTCATGGAAATAATTTGCTCCTCTCATGCGTGGGTCTGATGAATGTTGTTTACTTTTGCTGTACTTGTCTCTTCAGTTTCAACAATCTTCATTATTTTTTTTCAAATTACAGTTGAACTGTCATGACAGCCACTTTCCATTTTCCCCCTTGCGTTTTTTCTATATGATTTAATTGTGTAAAATGGTCGCCTATCCAGTGTAGCCGCAGTCACCTTATTTTATCAACCCACAGCCAAATTTACCAGCCTTAGACAGCCGAGCATGGTTTTGCATTGTTCAATATTTTGTCATAAATTTTTAATGGGCCCCTGATGCTGTGGATGGGCCATCATAATCCATTCACCTGAGTTATTGTTTGTCCTTCCAATGAATGTTTACCCAAGTTGACCAAAGGGTAACAATAAATTTTCATCTGCTGGTGAGGGAGAATTTTCATCTGCTGGTGAGGGAGGCTTGTGATCCATTGTAATCTATAAGCCCCGTCCATCATTTACTCACCAATCGTATGTGAGGTGACTAGTCACTGTTTTGTCTACCTAATCTGTAACAAAGTAACAATGGACGTTGCGTGAACTTGCGACAGAAATGTTGCTCGTTCTCCCGACTGGTGGCGACCCAGTGTTTGTTTTACCATGGCACTCGGTCTTCATCGTCTTACATTCGTTTATTTTTACGTTGCACAAAATCAGCAATAAAAAAGAAAGAAGCTATCCGAAAATCAAACCAAGAAGAAAAAAACTTTTACACCCCTCCACCCCCACTTTTCCAATAGAAATCAATTACCCTTTTGAATCAGCCTTACGGTGGTAGTCCTAAGCCTAAGATCAGCCCCAGTTTGGACCTCAGAAGGGAGTGATTTCTTTCTTCATTTTGATCAGTCCTGCCTAAGACTACCACCTGTGTTATATGGCCACTTTTCTCCTTGACAATGGGTGGCCATTTTACCTAGGTTCGACTGTATTTGTACATGGTGGAGAAAAAAAATTCAAGCTACTATTTGTACATGGTGGAGAAAAAAAATTCAAGCTACTATTTTTTTTCTCACCCTGTGATTTGGGGTCAAACAGAATAAAGCTTGAACTTGTAAATGGTGTATGTTCTCTAAGTTCAATATGCATAAAAATGTTTTGTTAATACGATACAGTTCACATGGGTCTTTTTAATTGCAGAAAGAATTTCTCTTACCTATCGCTTCTTTCTCCCCACAGCTTGCCGATGCCCCATCTGCTCACGGAGGAAAGCTGGGGGAATCATCGAAACGCGTGTCTGCTGATGACGAAATTGAAAGGCAGTTGGCGGCTTTAAAGAGTTTAGAATGATCTGTGTGCCTTGTAAATTTGGTTGTATATTTTCACTGTGATTGATTTTCCTGTCTTTGCTGTAAAGGAGCTCTGGTCAATCGTGAACTTGCCTGCAGTTGTGCAATGCATTTTAGATGTGTCTGCAGGTACCAACACTTTTATTCTTTTGTGTCCTTAGTAAGTTTATTTGAACTGCAAACAGTGTTGTCACCACAGGCAGCTGAAACAGACGTTATACTATTCTCTAGTGGAATTCAAAATTGTAAGTTACCCTGCCAGTGCCCTGAGGAAAAGACATGTTTGAAATATTAACCCAGAAAAAAAAGTATGGATATAGTTTATAGTTGGATATCTTGTAAGTGCAGAATATTGTGTACTGAGTTGTAAGTTTATTTTTGTGAGGATTAAGATTGATTCCTGGAAAAAAATGTTATGCTTTTTTTTTTAACTTATCCATGAGATAGTGATTGGTATAAACACTTGTGTTTTAAAAGTTCATTAAACAAATATACTTCTGTGACTGGATGCATGTGATTGATTTGTTATTGTTGCTTTTAGCTGATTTTTTTTTTTGCGGGGCAGCTCGGTAATGACAATTTTGTGAACTGTTTCACTTTGTTGACAGATCTGAGGCATCAGCGTTGTTCCGAATTTTGGGGGCATTGTGTCGTGTATTATTCATTATCTTGATGTTTGAGGGGCAAGATATCATGAGAGCGTGCTACTTTTGAGGAATTATTTCAGAAAGAGGAAATAAGGTAAAGCTCTATTGTTTTGTTTTCGTGGTTGTGAATCTTAAATTGATTTGATAAAATTTTGTTTTGAACTCATAGATTTGGTTTGAATTCAACTTATTTCCTCTGGAGTCAAATGATATTAAAATAAATTAAAGGTTTAATTTTAGAAGCACACTTTTTTGGTACCGTCTGAGGAAATTTAAAGAGATGTAGGTTTCAATAAGTAAGGCCCCTTGTGTACATATATATACTCAATCAAATTACCCTGTGAATATTATTCATCTCTAGTACGATTCATGTCAGTGTAAATTTGTGCATTGGCATTAACTCTTTGTCTCAGAGGGGGGTAAACCCACTACGCCGGGGCCCTTTTTTGGTGCTAAATTTTAAAATGACAAAAACGTCATCAAATCGAAACTAGCGAACCTATTTTGATAGTTCTTCATCTAAGGAATGAACTTCCGGTATAAGAGACCTGTTTTCGGTAATTGTCGAAAAGTAATTTGATGTCGAAGTCGTCGTAAAGGAATGTGCCCAAGCCGCTGTCCTTGCTATTTTTAGACAAAGAACTGGTCGATCTTCAAAAATCAGCCAACATCTCAACTTGCATAGCTTGACCCAAAATCAGTCAAACTAAGAGTCGCTCCTCCCCTTAAGAGAACTTAATTAAGACATAAAGACACTTTCAATCTTTGCTGCATAATTTTGAATAAACGTGACTATCTTTGTCGTACTAACCAAACTCGTTACTATTTGGTTGAGGCAATACTTTCACATTTTTGTTTGCTTTCATTATTATCTTCTGCACATTTGATCTGTTGGATCAAATACAATAGCGCCTGGTTATTTGTGGTGAAATTTTGTTTCAGTGTACTTGGAATCTAATTTTGTGTGGTGAAACAGTCACTCTTTACAAGAACCACACATTCAGTCAAGTTACATGTATTCTTGATGAATTTGCTGTTGTTATTGCTTGTACAGTTTATATTTTCTCTTTTATTGTATCTGTTGTGTTCGAATGCAGTTTATGACTCAGGTATTAATGTGATAAAGATGCTGAAGTTCATTTTGCCTCTTCAGCTTCTTATTAATTGTGTGATTGTAGTAATAAGGAACAGATGGCGAGTGCATAGTGTCTTATTTGCTGTTCTTAAGCATAGCTTTGTCTGAATATGCATGACACCAGTTGGTCCGGGGGGGGGGTGTTATGTATATGAAAGAAACAAAAGCTTTATGATTCAATCATATCATGGCATACTGCACACATGCTGTTTATTTAGTATGATGCTTCACAGGAAGTAGCAAACTGCAATTTTTGAGAAGTAGATTTTGAAATATATTTTAAAGATAATCTGGAGAAAAGTAAAGAGCAGTGTGACTAGTGAAAGTATTTTCTGTTTGAAATTCACCCTTACTTGGTTGCAGATTTTCTCAACAGTTGCCCATTACTCAACTTTTTTCACTTCAAGATTGCTACAACAGCATTATCATTGTCTAGATGTTGGATGTAATTTAGCTGCTTCTTGAATGTTAATCATCCAAATATATTTTGTTTTCTGGCTCTCCTGATAACATCCCAGTCAAAAGTCATGCAGTGGTATGTGTCACATATTATAATTGCAGAGTGCATTTGGATTATTTTGCTTCTAACTTTAGTTATAAATAGACATTTAAAAACGCCCACAGTGCCATTGCTATTTTATTCGTGTGATCAACCCCAAAATGAATTATCCCCTGTTGTATCGGGGCTCATATTCAGTACCGTGTTTTGTATGCCTCATTGGTGTAAAAGTGAAATCAGGCTCAAATTGTGTCAAATGTTATGTAAATTACTCTTGAATATACTATACATATGTACTCTTCATCATCCAAATACAAAAGGGATAAGAATGAAATTAGATTGTCTGGTCATATCCAGCATCAATTTGGGGGGGGGGGGATGTTTTTAAATTATGATCCAAACTTTGAGATGAATTTTTTTTATTATTATGTTGACCTTATCCTGTTAGCACAGATCCTATTTTTTTAAAAGAAAGAAAGTTGATCTTTTCCGGTGCATCAAACAAAGTATTGTTTCAAAAACCTAATTATTTTTTTCTGGAAGTCTGTGTTACTTTTTTAAAAGTAATAGTTCCTAGTTCTGATAATCAGAACTTGATGTATGTGCTTTTTGGCTGTAATTGTTCTTTCAAAAATTGTTGTGTAAATTTCTCCAGTGGTGCAAGCATGAATGTTAATGTTGTACATGCAATGGGTCAAAGTAGAATGATTGGTATGGTGTCTGTCATTTACCTGAAAATAAACTGGGTTTTTTTTTCCCTAAAATGTTTTATTACCTTTCTCTGTTGCACAGACAGTTGTAGTTGTATCTGTGGTGACAGCATTTGTGCTTATGCTTCTCTTGTTGCTTCACTGTTCACTTTTTCTCTCGTCTATCATGGCGTTTGTGAGTGTAGCCCAATGTTTCATGTCACTGTGCTGTGTTCAGCGTCTGTTTTCGTATATGTGATGTCATCAATTGTGTCTGTCACTCAAACTGGTTGCTTTCTGTTTAACTAAGCCAAGTTTTAGAGTATGGTTCGTTGATTTTACTTTGTGATAGCACTCTGTGGTCATCATCAGTCTTTGTCTCCTTGAGGAGCATACCATAAATGAGGTCTCTCCAGGCATTACTTTCCAAAGCCATCTTATCCTGCTCACCTAATTCTGTCCTAAGCGTTGCTGCGAAGCTGTAGTTTCCATTGCAGACCTCTTGGTCACTCTCTTTTTACATTTTTGATGTGGTAGTCTTTTTGTATGGGATGGGGTTACTGACCCGATGCCAAATTGTCTTTTATCAGGGTTTATACAGGCTGAAATTCTCATGAGAAAACCTGCCTGCACCGCTGTTAAAGCGTTTAAATGTTCTTATTTCATAAATTACATGTATAGTACACGTAGAAGGTACCAGTTTACAAGTCAAATCTTCCTTTCTGGCTGGAAACATGGTGTGGGTATTTAAAAATCAACACATACATGTACTTGGAGAACCCATTCTCAGAGAGTGCATATGACCTTATGCAGTTGCGAGCACCGTAAAACACTTACCAAAAACAAACAAAAAAATCCTCCTTTCACCTCATTCCCTACTCTCTAATCATGTCGTACTTCCACTTTTTTTTTCTTTGGGCTCCTGATTCTTTCTTCTGCTACACCTGGCTCCTTTTTACTGTTGTCTTTCAGCCACACCCCTGATCTTAGGGTAAGTGAGATCGAACTCCTATAGCCTTCTCGGATAAGGGCAAAACATTTCAGAGGTCTTTTGGGCTTTGAGCACGTTAAAAGATCCCACTTGATGGTCCTAAAATCGATAAGAGGAGACTTCGGTCGCCACTCACCACCCGGGCAAAATTTTAAATTAATTCCTACCAAACTTTATTACATGTAATAAATGATGAGTGTGTCCTGCGCGCTCATATAAGCTAAAAAATATATGACCTTATGCAGTTGCGAGGGCCGTACAACACTTACTAAAAAAAAAAAAGAAGAAAAAAAAAACAGAGCTTAATCCATGACTAAGCCATGAGACTGGATGTTCCATTACTGTCTCTCTGTCTCTGTTGACACCATGTTTAATTAATGACTATCGATGCGGATTTCAGTTGTTCAAATCTCATTGAGGTGCTTTTAAATGTTGGTTGTTTGGGGAGTTTTCCATCCTCTTGTTAATTATCAATGAAGGCAAATAGTGGGTTGGCATGCATGTGCTTTAGAGTAGCTTGTTCCTTATTTCATTCCTATCTTACATCTATGTCGTCCTTATCTCTCCTCCTTCTTTTCTTTATGTTATATGTTTCTCTAGTACATTGGTAACCTTCGCACTTATCATATAGGCCCCATACATTTGTACTTTTGTTAAACAACGTCTAAAGACAAAGAGAAAAATGTTCGGTGGGTGGTTGGCGGGTGCTGTGGTGTGGTTTGCTCCTTCTTTCCTATCCAAGATCTGTCGTCCTTCTCTCCCCTCAATCTTTTTTGTGTATGTTACTCTCTTGTAACACATAATCTATTCTTCAGCACTTATACTTATACGACCTTATTGTGTTGTAAGTGCCGTAAAACTCTTACTAAAACTAAACTAAAAATGTTCGTAACAGGGTTGTACATTGCACATGGACATTTTATCTTGAGACGATGTGGAATCTATCGACACTATCATTCAGACTGAAAGGAAAATGATAGGCCCTATATGGCCTGCATAATATGTTAAAATGCACCAACTCAAGAGAATGTGCTAAAGTTCAAAGCGGGTTCAAAGAAATTAAAGGGCCCCTGTTTGTCGGCAATTCAGTAATTACATGTACATTTGTATGTCATACGTTTTGTCTCCGAACTTCCCTGTTTAGAGCATAATTTACAATTTTCAATGTATATCATGTATGTAACATTTATATGTACATGATAGATTCTAATACAATATTATTATTCACAACCATGCTATCAACCAATAATATATATATATATATATTTATATTTATATTTATACATATATATACACATGTATATATATATATGTATCATCTCTCTATATATATATAGATAGATAGATAGATTAGCTTGCCTGTGGGAAGAGCACTATCTGAAAACACGGTTGAGTGTTTTGATTACAATTTGTAACATATTATTATCATAAAATTGATGCGGAAAAAGACTATTAAAATGAATTAATTATTTTTTTTAATTAAAAAGCGATTCCGACCCGAGGTGTCTGGTAAGGGAGGTAACTCTAACAATGAATTTTTTCTAGAGATTTTGGGCAGTCTTGGGCCTATTTGTTTTTGTTTCTAAAGCTCATTGAACTGCTGCTTCGCTGACAATTTGACACCACGTAAGCTAAGCCTCAGCTTGTGGAGGTGTAGATCTACTATCTTTTGTCAGTTTCTCTTTAGTACTTGCAAGAGTATTTGCTTCAGTATTTGATTTATACATATAGTGTAAGGTGTATAACGGTACGTACAACTTAACTTGACTTAAGAATCTGCTAGATTTCTAGGTCCCGTTTGGAGATACTATCATGATACTAGATCTAGATTCTAGTTTTGACCCCCCCCCCCCCCCCCCCCCACAACGACGATTAATTTTGATTCTAAGTATTTGCAAAACATCAAATTATGGTCAAAATTATATCGGGGGGGGGGGGGGGGCATGCCCCCCAGAAACCCCCTCCATGTTTTTGTTTAGAAAGGGGGCTTCCTGAAACCCCCCTTGCCTTGTTAAAAAAAACTAGTGAAATTTTACGGCTCATTTTGTAGGCAACATTTGGTTAGATCTACTGATAAAACATCGATACCGAATATTTAAATATTAAATCAGTATCGATATTCAGTACTCAGTGTGGATGATGCCAACAGACGGGACCCAGATTCTTTTAGTCTTTCTCGCATTTAATTCCAGAGGAGGACTTCCGTAACGAGCGACCACTCTGAATTCTATGAATTTCAATAACTCAATAGCCATCAAAATCAGTACGGAAGGTCTAAAAAGCCAGTATAGTCGCCTAGATATGTTACTTGATCCATGTAAATCTAGACAAATTATGAAATTGCCGCGGTTTACGTAATCTTAACTCAAGCGCAAAGTTTTCAATATATCTAGTTGGGGGAGTTTCGTCTAGATCTAGACATGGCCGGAATTAAACGCGAGAAAGTAAACAATTGCCCAATTTGTTATTTTGTTGTGGATTTTTTTAGAGATCTAATCTAGATCTAGATTTATAGCCTTAAGTACTGACATGGTATAATTTTAAACCTGAATAATTAGGCCTACTACTAGATCTAGATCTAGATCTAATGAAACCTGCGTACTCAACGGAAGTGGCTTTTTCACTTTATGAATCGAGCTGAACTACGCAGGTCGCCATTTTGTTTTGCCCGGAAGTTCTCGCAAAATCTATTCCTTTTCTCTCTCTCTCTCTCGCACTCTCTGAATACTGTCTATTGGTGTGGACGATCAAATTAACAAAAACAAAAATATAAAATAATGTTAAAACGCTAAAAGTAAATTAATTTGGCCGTCTACAAAGATGCTACGGCTATTTAACTTTTTGAATCGAGCCGAACTACGCGGGTTGCCATTTTGTTTTGCCCGGAAGTTCTTGCGCTAGGTTACTCCCCCCACCCCACCCCTTTCTCTCTCTCTCTCTCTCTCTCTCTCTCTCTCTCTCTCTCTCTCTCTCTCTCTCTCTCTCCCCCCCTCTCTCTCTCTCTCTCTCTCTCTCTCTCTCTCTCTCTTTTCTTTCTCTCTCCCCTTCTCTCTCTTTGTCTCTCACTGCCCACAGACAAAATTGCACGCTTTCAACACAAGAGTGCTGGAACGTTTGTTCACGGTGAAGGCTACTCTGGTTGGCCTATCACGATGAAGGCACACGCGGTGAGAATAGCCAAAAGGCTGTACTCAACAAGTTTCGGTCAAAAAGGCCTAGCCCTAACCTTAGTACAGCTAGACTGGCAAGTTAGCCAAACTGTCAATACTGAAGTACAGCAAGCCACTTTGTTAAAAAAAATAATGTATAAATAACTTCCTTGATTCCAATACAATTTAGGCCTCCTGTACTAGATTTCTAGGCCTACAACTCAAAACTCAAAATGTGTGACACTGACATGCTACATAGTCTGCACTGATTTGAATTTTGAGATGTCAATAACAGATATATTCTCCATTTACTTTTTTGTCTTTTCAGTTGATATTTTTCTCGAAACTGTAGCATCATATCTGACACTTAACTTACTTGTATGAAGGCTAGAGGGATTTTTTTCCTGAATATGTAGCCTAGGTACAGCTAAATTTAATAGTTAAACATAAATTACTTAGGCCCTGCTAAACAGTTCCACTTTCTATAGAATGTTACTTTTATTTATATCAAAATCATACCCCACTTTTTATCAATAAGAGAGTAAAGTGCACATAAATGTCTTGCAGAGTTTGGTTCTCTTAGGATCAAAGCTTGCAAACCTATACACAATCGAACCTGTCTTATCGGAACCTGTAAAACAGAAACCAGTCTTAACGGAATCTCCCCGACCCCCCTTGATATATTCCTCTTTAATTACCTATATAAAACCGAAAACTGTCCAACGTGGAAACGGAAAGAAAAATCAGCTCCCTCTCGAGGGTTTTACCTGTCTAACACGGAAATTGTTTTGCCCCCTCAGTCCCTGATTTGAAACAAAACTCGCAAGTTTGGTTCCACCGGCTCTAAACTTAACGCCATGCCACTGGACGAGGAATGGGAAAATGGGTGCAATTTAGGGGCAGATTCACCCCATCTATGTGAGCCCTGAGCGATGCAGATGGTCAGAGTGGTGTGGGTGTGAAATCTCACGAGTGAAAGTGCTCGAGTAGCAAGCCACCAGGGAAACATTTCTGGGTAGCCAGAAGCCAGATAGGTGTGAAATTAGTTTGACTAATGCCTGCCGCCCTGATCATGTGGCCAGCCGAAAGCAACATGGATCGCACCTTGTAATATGAATCACAGCATATTCATTGAGTGTCTGGGAACCACAACAACATTCTTGTTCAAGTTCAGGCTCGAAAACTGGTTTGATGAGAACAGCACGGAAATCCAGCTGCACCCCCAGTGGGTCATGGGGATATAAATAGACCCACTGCTTCGTCTGCAGAAGATGCAACCCCTTCAAAGGCGAGGTGTCGCACACGGACCCCAATCCTCTGAGATCCGGATGCGACACCTACTTTAGTGTATCTTCCTCTTCTCCTTCCTTCTTTCTTTCTTCTTTTATCTTTCCTACCACCGCTGACCTCATGTGCAGCAAAAAGAGAGGTCACCCATCCTACAGAGTTGGCGCCTCGTTGACCGTGAGGTGCGACCCGTGCGGAGGGAAACCGGGTACCTGGTGGTTGAGGTGAGATCAGTCCACTGACTGTCCCTCGCCAACACACCTCTTTGGCCCAGGTTTTCCTCTTAGACGGGAGGGTGGCACGGCCCATGCCACTCAATCGGTTGAGAGCTGAAACCCCATCAAGCCCTGGGTCAATCTTGACGGGAGGGTCTTGTACTTTCTCGTTGAGAGTATAGCTCCAGGGTAGCCCTGGCACAGCTCTGGTCATCCGAGCAATGTGTCCCCTTGTTGGGCTCCGTGGCGGGCGGGGAGCCCCGGAGTCGAATCAATTAGAAAACTCTCATGGATACTAAAAACCCTAAAGACCCTTTCCCAGCTCCCAACATGAAGAAGTCTCGGCTCGCGGAAGCGGCCGCCGAGCCGAGCAAAAGTTCAAAAAACGGTAAAAGGACCTTTACCGATGCCTCCTTCCTCCCTCCTCCTAAGGAGCTTCTGAGGCAACCGTTCGTGGCCATCTCCAGTGCAAAAGACGCACAGAAAAGAATTACCGATCTCAACATCTTTAAGACAGGAGATGCACTACGGAAAGTTCTGGGATACATTCCCACATGTGTACAGAAACTTTCCTGTGGTGCACTCCTTGTCAAGTGCGCAACCGAGAACGAAGTGACCAAACTCCTGGATACCACGACCTTCGGCGGTATTCCCTTTAAGTCCGAGCACTACCAGAAGTTTAACCGCTCGAAGGGCGTGGTCCGCAGCCATGAGCTGAAAGGCTGCTCCATGGAAGAGATTGTGGAGCACTGTGAGGGAGTGGTCGAAGCTCGCCGGATTACTCTTCGGCGGGGGGAGACTACTATTGAAATGAACACGATTGTCCTCACTTTCGAATCGTGTCGCCCTCCAGCCACCGTTCGGGCATCTTACTTGATACTCGACGTACGACCCTATGTGCCGAACCCTCTGCGCTGTTTCAAGTGTCAGAAGTTCGGCCATAGCCAGTCACGGTGCTGTCACGCAGCCGTGTTTCCTCGTTGTGGCAAGACCGGGCATCCTGAGAAGGAATGCAAGGCTAGTCCTTGTTGCCCCAATTGCCACGGCCAGCACACAGCTTTCAGCAAGGAGTGCCCGACTTGGCTCCAAGAACGCGCCATCCAAGAATACAAGGCGCGAAATGGCTGCTCCTTCCAGGAGGCCCGTAAGGTTGTCTGCCCGCCAATCACAACCCCAGTCATTGGCCGGTCGTATTCAAAGGCAGCCCAGTTGGTCACAAGGTCGGCAAGTAATTCTACTGCCGACCTCCCAAAGCCCGCGGTCAACAGGCAAATCTCTGTGCCTAAGTACAAAAAGCCCGCTTCTATCCCTGTGGCAACCCCCCTTGAGGTGCCACTTTCTAACCGCTATGGGGTTCTAGGGGAGGACGGGGAGGACTCTTCCTCCGCCCCCTCTTCTCCCCCTCACCCCTCTTCTATCCCTTCTTCTTCTTCTCCTTCTTTTTCCACCTCACAGCCCATTCCTCTGATGGAGCGTGAGGTGGGCCTTCTCCCCTCCCCCCAGCCCCCTACCCCCCCCCCCCCTTCCCAGCCCCCTCGGTCTGCTCCACCTCCCCCTACCCCTCCAGCAGACAAACCCCTGCCTATGGAGGAAGACATCTCCGACCCCCCTCCCCGGCCTGACCCCGGGAAGGATGGAGTCTGTCACTCCTCCAAATCCCCCACTAGACCGCCGTCCAATCCAGGACGGCAACCTAGAAAACACTCTGCCTCCCCCGCAAGGAGGAGTCAGAGTGTTTCTTGGAAGCCAGGGCCTTTGAGCTCCAAATTAAAAAGTAAAAATTCATAATGAATCCGACCTTCCATTGCAGAATTGCAACATTTACAGGACACACTGTGCCCACGGGTGGCCTGTATTCAAGAAACAAAATTCGCCCCGGCTTCCACCATAGACTTAAGAGGATTTACTGCGTACCATCACATTCACACAGAGAACCAGATTGCTTCCGGTGGTACCACCATCTACACTGACAACC